CCGCTTCTCAGGGGGTGGCCTGGCAGAACTGGGGACGGCCTTGGTTGGCTGGTCAGCCGACAAAGGGGTGCCCGGGCTTGTCGGGCTGCTGACCTGCTTCGGCGGGGTGCCGGGGCCGGGCACAGTTGTTTTCGGCGGTGTGATTGGGCTCACAGCGTGTGACACCACCAGCGCCGGCGCTTGGACTTTCATCTGGGCCGGTGGCCGTGGAGCAGGTGCCGGGGGTGGTGGCTGCCGTGGTGGCTGTGGCTGCAGTGGTGGTGGCAGTGGTGGCTGTGGTGACTGCAGTGGCGGTGGCAGTGGTGGTTGTTGTGTCTGCAGTTGCGGTGGCTGTGGGGGAAAGGATGGTAGTGGGGGAGGGGGGGGGGTGCTGGTGCTGGCGCCGTTGCTGCCGTTGCTGCCGCTGGCGGCCGAGCCCGCTCTGCATGGTGGTCCGCCGCCCGAAACGCCTTCAGCGCCTCCGTCATATCCGCATCGCTGTCGTAGTAGAGGAAGGCACTTGTCTGCGGCTGGTACGCGCTCCTGCATGGCAGAATTCGCACTGCCACCGGCTTTGGCGCATTGTACTGCTGCGCCCTCGCCAGCACATCCTTGGTAGCGGCGCAAGTTCGTGCACGTGTGTGTACAGTTAGTTCATGAGGGTTCGCAGTTTCAAGGTGCATGCTTATACAAGTCAAGGCGAGGCGCTGCTTTGGTGACATTCCCCGGCCAATCAGCTGTGTACAAGCGGCTCTCCATGGCGCACTCCAGGTACCAAGTTGTCAAATGCAAGTACACCTCTTGCACAGTGTGCAACAAATGCAGGCTGCGTAGTGGCGTAGTGGAATGCTCCTTGTGCAGTGCCGATGCAGCTTTGTACATCATACCCACCTCGGTTGTATCACATGTGCATGTGTGTATGTCCTTTTTCATGCATCCCCCATCGGAGGTTCCTTGTTTTTGCAAGAGCCAAAATGGAGCCGCCAGAAAATAAATATTGTTCATGCTGCGTGCGAAACCTGCAAAACCTCCTCCTTTGGACATGTACAAGCGCATGCGCTGTGTGGAACTAGTTTTTCCGCTATGGTTTTCTGCTTGCTTTGCGGCCTGTGACACAAACAGTGTCTGGGCTTTCTAAACTTTGGGCCGTGGCTCCTATATACAATGGGTGTGCGTCGCAAAATCTCTGACAATTTTCTCAAGCTCTCACACTTCAGGGCTTCGCAGCCACACATCCTCCCGCCACGCTGCGCATATAAACAAACACGAGAGAAACACAAATAATGGCGCGCTTGCTGCGCTGTTCTATGCAAAAACAAGTGGTGCAACAAGGTGTTTATATGCATTTGCGTGATTTAGACTCGCAGTTTAGACGCGCTATTTAGACTACAAATTTAGACTCGGCGCAGCTTTGTAGTCTAAATTTTCGCGAGGCTATTTTTAGACTCAAAGGATCTTTCAGGATTGGTGATGCAGTCGAATTGTCTGTGGACGCGATCGCTGCTTTGAACGCTCCGCGGGGCGACATGTTTCGGCGGCTGGCAGAGACTCTCGGGGACCTGGCACCTGAGTTCTGGTGTGTGGATGACGCAGTGCCTGCTGACATGTTGCTGCCTTTGCAGCTCCCTGGGGGCGTAGGGCAAGATTACTCACCTCTCGGGGGTTCGCTGTACGTTCCTCTTCGCTTTCAACACTGCAGAGCAGCTTCGGGACGCCAACCGCGTCATCAATGCCCAGGAGACCCTAGTGGATGACGTGGCTTCCTTTTTTTGGCCCTGCCACACCACGCACGACCCAGTCTGGGCTGGCGGGGAGGACTTCCACAGACAGAAGGGCTACCCTTTCCGTTTCTACCGCCTGTCCCCCGATGCTGCGCGGGTGTTTGATGAGACCTTCGATGTGCACGTGCGTGCGCAGGAAGCGAGCCACCTCACTGACCAGCAGCAAACAAATTCCACGGGAAGGCCAAGACGAAGCATTTGCGGCTCGCGCTGGCCCTGCATCTTTTTGAGGAGACCCGCCAGCGCCACACGATCGAGACCTGGTCCACGACTCTGGAATCGCGCCACTTGGTCGTCGCTGAGAAGCTTGGAGAGTACCTGGACATGGTGGCTGAGCGAATGAGTGGCTTGTTCAAGACCGTCCTGTCCGACGTGCCCGACCGCGGTGCACCCGCGGGTGCCGCGCGGTCTGCGCGGGCGAGCGTGCGGGAGCAGCTGGAGCAGGTGCTGCAGGCGGACTGGCAGTCCTTTCGGGACATTCCTGAGGACAAGGCAATCCTGTTCTGGCAGCTTGGGCAGCACGTGCTGAACACCACGGCTGCGGTCTGCCGCCACGCTGGCCTGCGCGCGCTGCTCAGCAGCGCTGGCCCGAGTTGCTCCTGCAGCACCTTGGCTTGACAACGACTGTCCGCGGGAAAAACACCCACGGCACGCCTGTCTTTTACATCGTCAAGCGCGAGCCGACGGCGGAGCTGGCCGAGTTCACTGCCCTCACCAACATCATCTCTGAGTTTGAGATCGGCATGCAGGGCTATCGCAGCTACCCGGCGACGGCAGTTCAGCAGCATCAGCCCAACAATGCTGCGTCCTCGCCGAGCTTTCCCGTGCTTGCAGGCGACACAATGCGGGCGGGTCTGTCCCTTGTGCGGGCGTGGCGCGCTGCGGTGCATGCGCAGGTGGCGCCTCCAGCCCCAGTTGCCGCGCCAGCGGCCGCGGGGGCACGGTCTCTGCACTAGCTGCGCTGCTGCCCTTGTCCAGCCCCTGTGATGGCTGAGATTTTTTGGTGTGATGGCTGAGATGTTTTGTACCGAACCTGATGCTGCCGCGGGCGCCGAGAAAGGGCCGGGTGCATTGGGTTCATCTGAGTGTGATGTTCTCCGGGTGTCGCCGCAGCGCGCGCGCCTTGACGCGCCAGGCCCCGCCGCGCGCTTGCTCGCGTGCTGCCTGGGCCCCGGTGCATGTGGGTTTTGTATGTCATGAGGTTTGCTCTTGCTCGCGCTCTCGTGTCCTAGTTGCCAGGCGCCTGCCTTCGCACGAGACCGGCCAGGTGAGAGCTGGAGACTGAGAGCAAGGCTTCCGGGGGGGAGGGGTTGGTGGAGGGCTTCCAGGGGGGGGGGGGGAACGTCCTTGACCTTGGCACGTTTTGCAAAGAACCTTGAGGAATGCAGTGGCGCCTTGCGGGAGAGTTTCAGACAATTGCGGGAGGTGGCCGAGGGCTCAGTTGGCACCCTCTGGTTTTGGGACTGGGCTCGAGCGGGGGTTGGGGGGGGCGGCGGCCCCCCCGGAAGCGCACGCTTAGGTCGAGGACTTCCAGGGGGGGGCTTAAGGGGGGGCTTCAGGGGGGGTTTCAGGGGGAGCTTGCGGGGGGCTTAAGGGGGAGAGGGGGTTTCAGGGGGCCCGTGCGTAAGGGGGGGCTTAAGGGGGGCTTAAGCCTTGGCGCTGGGGGCTTCGGCTTCAGGCCGGAGCGAGGCCGCAGCGGAGCCGGAGCGGAGCCGGAGCGGAGCCGGAGCTGAGCCGGAGCGGAGCCGGAGCGGAGCCGGAGCGGAGCCGGAGCGGAGCCGGAGCGGAGCCGAGCTGCGCCGGAGCGGAGCCCGAGCGTAGCTGCGGCGAAGCCGAAGCGGAGCCGGAGGCGGAGCGAAGGCGGAGCGGGGGCGGAGCGAGGGTGGAGCGCAGGTGCAGCGATGGTGGAGCGGAGGCGGAGCGGAGGCGGAGCGAAGGCGGAGCGAAGGCGCAGCGCAGGCGCAGCGAAGGCGGAGCGCAGGCGGAGCGGAGGCCGAGCGGAGGCGCAGCGGAGGTGGGGCGGAGGCGGAGCGGAGGCGCAGCGGAGGGCTTGAGGGGGGGGCTTCAGGGGGGGGGCCTTAAGGTGCGGCTTAAGGGGGCTTCAGGGGGCCCGTGCTTAGGGGGGGCTTCAGGGCGGGTTTCAAGGGAAGGCTTAAGCCTTGGCGCCGGGGGCTTCGGCTTCAGGCGGGGGCTTAAGGAGGGCTTCGGCTTAAGGGGGACCTTAAGGGGGGGCTTCAAGGGGGGCTTAAGGTTGGGGGGGTTCAGGCGGGGCGGGGGCTTAAGGGGTGGCTTAAGGGGGGCTTAAAGGGGGGCTTAAGGGGAGGCTTAAGGGGGGCTTAAGGGGGGGTTAAAGCCTTCGGACCTTCGTCGTGGGGGGGGGGGGAGGGGGGGGACACATGTTCGGCACCCTTTCGCCTCTTTGTTAAGCTCACTTCCTGAGCTCATGAACTTTAAACTTTTTGGGTTTGGACCATTTTAGTGGTAAATACAAAGTTTGGACTTTTGTTGGGCCATCCACTCAGCAAGTGAGTAAGATGAGCTGCCGACTAATTATGGATGATCCGTGCCCGGTTGCTGGGTTGGTTCCCTCTAGTCCGCCTCTCTGCTTGGTCAAGTCCAGAATGGTTCCCCTGCTGCCATTGCCGCTGGGCTGGGAAGAAGCAGCACCTTCGGTAGACTTGGGCCGTTCGGGCTTCCTTGACCCAAGATAAACTATGCTTTTCGCTTCAGCCTCGCGCTTTGGACAGCAAGTGGGTGCAAGGCGCCCCCCTTCTGGGTTTTAAAGGCACGAGGACGTCTACCAGTGGGAGGGGGTTCGCATTGGGAGGGACTTTCTGCATGGGCTCCGATCTAGAGTGATCAAGTAGCGACATAGGGATGGGGTTCCCCCCGCTGTGGCATCACCATTCTCGCAGCTGAAAAGTGGGGGCCCATGGCTTGGAAAGTCCTGGTGGGTGAACTAGAGATTGCTGGCCAGAGCTAAATCAGAGACTCCCAAAACATGGTTCTAGGTCGTTGAGCAGCCCGCTAGCAGGCCAGTCCCCCAATATTTTAACGCAAAGGACACTTATCAAATCGCACATGTGTAGGAATCAGGGACCAAACCCTTAACTTTTGGTTGATTAAGAGAGGGGAAGTGTCCCATTTAAGAGGTATCCCTCATTTGTTCATGTCATGGAGTCGGCATTAGTGGGAAGGAGAGTATCCCGCCTTTTTCGGACTCTGGCGATGTTTGACCGCAGCGGCTTGCAGCTCGAACGAACCGAAAGGGGGACAAGTAATTCGACCGGCGGGGTGAAGAAACCTTTACTTTGTTATGGCGGCAGGCGGGGTGGGCGGAGTGTGGAGGGGGAGGGAGAGGGCGAGAGAGAGCGAGAGAGAGAGACAGAGAGAGAGAGAGAAAAAGCGAGAGGGAATGAGAAAGACTCTAAGAGAAAGAGACACGGAGGGAATTGCAAACACAGGGAGCGTTGAGTTTGTAGATGTTTGGGCCGGCATACCGGGTTTGCCGTCTTTTGCTGCGTTTTGTTGTTCCAGGGCTCGCCAATGACCAAATCAGAGGGTCTTTGATTTATTTCTCCTGTAGACCCCAAGTTGCTACCACACTCGACGCATGTCAAAGCTGGCCACTAGGCCTTTTGCCTGGGGGTGGCAACGCCAAAGTGGGGGTGACGCTGCCCTTTCCGCCTTGTCTAGAAGGTGGAGTTTGCACAATGGGGCTAAAAACTGCTGTTACTTGCCCAGATGCATCCTAAGCTGCTTTAGCTTTGCCATTTCGCCCCTGGTTGCAAGCTGCGAGAGCACGGACGACGATTCTTGTTGAGAAGGCGTGTGTGTGTGTGTGTGTGTGTGTGTCTGCAGAAACAAATGGCAGCGTTGGCTCTGGCACACGTCTCATGAGGCTTGGAGCGCCTAGGATCAGTTGGCATCCATCTACCCGCAGTGGAGAATGAATTGCAAATTAATCCCAGTTACTGGTATATGCCTTGATGAGCATCTTCAGACCTTGCTTTTTTTTGTGAAGCCAAGAGTTGTTCTCTTTTGAAGCCACAAAAAGTGAACACCTGCAGAGGGGTCGCGCAGCAACCGAGATGCTGATACCCACTGAAGCCCTTGTTGCTTGGCAAAGCCCCCAACAGACATGGGCCTCGGGAACCTCCGCCGCTCGAATTCTCGAATTGATCCCATCCAGGCAAGCCATGGGTACCCAGCAGGTGTGGGCACAGGTCAGAAGTAAACCACAGGGGCAACACAGGTTTTCGTCCTGGCCTTTTGCCAGGGCAACCCATTTTGGGTTACCCTATTTAATAGCCCTATTTTTCACAAACCACGCACATGTGAAGCAAGGTACGGGAAACATACCTGGTTACCTATGGCGGCTTGCCTGGAAGCTGGTTTTTTGGTGCCGCGTTCGGTGCTAGTGGATTCCGCTAGGTGCTCCCCCTTCGCCTCGGTTTGAGTCGGACAAGGAAGACGGTGAGGACTGAAGTGAGCTCTCGCGGCCTTGGATCTGCCCGAAGCAGCAGCAATCACGAGAACAGCGGAGACAGAGCATGTCCGTTGTGTTATAGCCTATATGTTCCTTTTCAACCAGCAAGATCTTAGCCCTGTGCAGCGCGCAGGACTTAACGGAAAACAGGGCCCCCTGCTTGGATGTTCAACCAACTTAGTAAGTAGGTTATAACCATGGCTATTGACCTAAAACAAGTTGGAACCATTATTAATTACAATCTACTTCCAAAGTTGGCTGGACATCCAAGTAGTTTCCCCATTTGGTTGTTAACACCTCAACTTTCGGGCCCACGTTGCACCCGACTTTCCTGGAGAAAGCTTGGGCTCGGAGGGGGCACTGGTGACCAGGACTCCAAGACCCGCAAGCTGATCTTTGAAGGACTCGACGCCGCGGCGAAATGCGACGTGGCAGTAGACCCTTCGTGCCCTCCCCCCCCCCCCCCCGCCGTTTTTGGCGCTCCAATGGGTCGAGTCCAGCACCCACAGCCATCAAAGCGCCTGTTGCACCGGTGGCTCCAGATGGGCTCCAGATGGCTGCATCTGGTCAGGCTTTTCAGATTCGGAGTGTCTTCGAAGTCCGGTAAGATGCTTGTAGCACGGCCGGTCTTTGGCAGGCACCAAAAGGACCTCTTGGAACCAAATGGCCTTGCCAGTAAACCTATAAGCAGTGACCGACCTTCTTAACTCAAACAAAACGAGCTGGGCATCAAAGAAACCCGACAAAACAGCAAGAGCCTCAAACACTTTGAACAAGGGGTTGGGCTCATGCCCACTCCAGTGCATACCATTGCAGACCCCCACCCCCATTTTGGACCTGCAATGGATCCAGAACCCACAGCCACCCCTCAAAGCGCTCCATGCACTGGGGGGGGGGGGCCTTAGGGTTCCATTTGGTCCGCAGGCCGCCCTTTCAGAAGCAAGCCAGTTGTTCAACGGCATGTGCTTGATGGGTTTCACACCCAGAAGGGTCACGCCCAAAGAAAGGGCTCCCTGTGTCTGCTTCCACCTTTCCCACAACTTCAGTTTAATTTTAGTCGTCCAGCAAAGGGTGTGTTTGAGATTTCGAGACGGGTGGTGTGTGTGTGTGTTTTTGTGTTTTTTTTTTTTTTTTTTTTGGGGGGGGGGGGGGGTACTAAGTGTGCAATGTGTGTTTGGGCTGTTTGGGGGCGGGAGTGTACCATGGGGGGTGTGCTAATTGGAGTCGATGTTCCCTTCGGCGTTTTCAAGGCGAGGGCGTCGACGTGGACAAGCGCATGCTGGAAGGGCGTAAGGCAGGGGGCAACGTTTTCGAGGAAGAAGACAGCGTGCACGACTGGTTTGGTGCCCCTTTTCCGTTTTAGTGCTGGGCCCTGGATTGGTTGACATGAGAGAGAGAGAGACAGAGAGACAGAGAGCAAGAGAGAAAGAGAGAAAGAGAGAAAGAGAGAAAGAGGGAGGGAGGGAGAGAGAGAGAGAGGGAAAATGATTGACATGGAACGCACCAGGGGTTCCATTTGAAAGGAACATGGTCTTCCAGGAGAGAACTCGGTCAAGTTACATGAGAAGGGACGGGAGGGTAAACCGCACGGAGGGCTCCCCTGGAGGAAAGGAATCCTAAAGAAAAGGGACCTCTGGATTAACAGCTGTGGAGTTTATTATATTCATCAGGGGTCCACTTTACCAGGGAACAAAATTCTGCCCTTGCAGGAAGCTCTGGAGCAATCCTGTAAGATGCCAAGAAAGTTACCGCGGGGCCCCTTCAATCCTCACTGCCGATCACTCGCGGAATTGGCTGGCTTTTGACTCCTGACCTCTTGCCAACGGCTTGTCCAGTTGTTCAGTGGGCATCAGGCCCCTCTAAATGCCCCTTTGCCCCCAAACCCTTGCACGCCTTGCCAGACTGAGCTTGCGCGCATTTTTGCTTCCCGCGGTTTCCTGGAGCTTTCCTTTCCGCCAGTGTTTTGGTTGTGCATTCGGGGTCCAAGTTTGGCCGAGAGTTAAAGGACAAAGGGTTCCAACTTGGGCCAGTGCTGGGACTAGCCGTTGATCTGCGAGCACACTCTCCAAACCACATGTTTGGGGTGGGTGGTTTTGGGATTCTGAACCAACCCCTAGCCCCCAACCTCCAAACCACCAATCCGCAAATTGGCGGCAAGCTGAGTTTTCGTCTCAAGGGTTTGGGGGGGTGAGTCAATTTGAATTGGCAAAGGAGCCCTTGACAGTCTTGTTTTGGGACCAGAAACATGCTCAGTTTTCCCCTCGGCAAGTTTTTGAATTAAGCTCATTTTTCACTGCCTCAAAGAGTTGCGGCGTTTTGCAAGTGCCAAGTGGTTGCTAAGTGGAATGGTTGCACAGCTGGATGTCCATCCACACTCCTAAGATCGAATAGCAGGCATTGGGGAGGGGCGACGGGGCGACGATCCCTGATTCTAGCCATCGTCCCAGCCGTCTGAAAGAAGCTTTAAACATTTTGCCACGCCCCCGCACCCTACCCATTACGGATAAACCCCAGCATGAGGACCCAAGCTGGGGTCCCCTCCACACCTATGTGATTTGAAGGGCAAATTGTAAAACCAAAACTCGGGCCATGTCACGAGTAAACAACTAAGTGGGATTTGTAAGACAAGTGACTCGTACACCCTCGTAAAACCCCGCCAACAGCCAGGGTTGTAGTTGCCCTGTGTGGGTTACAAATGTATATATACAGGGTTTCACGTAACTTCCATATATATATATATATATTATGTATAACTATAGGGTTTCACGTAAGCTCCAAAGCGCGCAAGAATAACCCACTTATCATGGTTGTAAGTCCCCTGCGTGGGTCAGAACCAATGACCAATGGTTTCTAAGCCAAACAAGTCGTAAGTAAGTAAACTGACAATGGAGTAAATATGGGTGTGTTTTTTTTTCTGGGGGAACCCTCCGCCCCGCCCCTCCCCAAAAAATATATATATATATATAAATAAATAAATAAAATAAAACAAAAACAAGTAAACATATGGTTTCCTTTGGCTTCCTGTAAACCAACCAAAAAAGGATAACAAACCTGAAAAACAAATTGAGCCATTTACCTGGGCAAACGGGGGCCAAGCCGCCCAAAAAAAGCCCTTTTCAACCAACTGAGAATTTCTGTACACTAAAATCGAGCTCTTAAGTAACCCCAGAAAAGCTTCTTGACACCCAAGCGCCGGAGAAACCTTCGCCGCGTTTGCCCGGAGAGGCCAACCGCGGCTTCACCATCTCGGCTGGGACCAGCGCCGACCCGGACTTCAGCTCCTCGCTTGCAGGGGGTTGGGCGTGGGTGGGGTGGTGGGGGTGGGTGCTCGGGCCATTTCCCAAAAGGCACCCAGGGCCCAGAAACCGGCTTAACGAGCTTGGCATTGGCCGAAATGAATATTTTGTTTAGTTTCCCTTGGTGGTTGTCAAGGGATCGATTTCACTACTGGGCACATTTTCTCATTTTTTTCTCACGGGGCGAAGCAGCAAATGGAAGGAGCCCGGAAGAGGCCTGATCATGTGGCCACTTGGAAGGGCCGCAAACAAGTGGATGAGAATGAACATGAATTTCCAGCAAGAAGTTAAACTGGGTGAACAATCAATAATGAATACCATTGAATACCCGGAAAGTTGTAGTTTTATATTCAACCAGTACCCTCCCAACAATAAGTGCAAATTGGTGTCCAAAGTGGCTCAAGGGCATGACCCAGGTACAAATGGACCACATTTGGAGGGTGCTGGAAGGTCGTTTTGTGTTGTGGGTTCCACGATATCACGGGTGCTGGTGGGGAGGGAGCCCAAATAAGCCATAAAAAAAGGCCTCTTCTTAAGGGCTGATTGGGATCCCTCCCCCTCCCCTCCCACCCAGCCTTCTATGATGATACCATCAGGTAAAAATGGACCACCCTACCGTGCTGGAAGGTCCTTTTGTTGCGGGTTCCATGAGCACCTTTTATTGCATTTTGCCAAGGGATGTTAGGACCTTAACTTTTTGTCAACGAATGGGTTTTCCGTAGTAAACCACTACCTAGAGTCTCCATGACCCTTTAAAAATGGGTCATTGACCCCATTATTTTGGGTAATGACCCCATTTTTTAAGGGTCATGGAGACTCCAGGTAAAAGTTCGTCGCTTTTCGCAGGGCCTCGCAGATTTCGCCACCGAAGATCGGCGCCCAAAGGCTCCCTTCGCAACTCCAAGCGTGCACAGACGCTGCCCGCGGACTGCTCGCGCCGCTGCTCGCCTGAAGCTGCGTTTTTTTTTGGCCGGCGCGGGGGTTAGACTTATTGGTTTTGGGTGGCTTGCACATCAGCTTTTTTGGGGCCATGTGAAAACGAGTGTTCGTTGGCAGGTTCATGATTTGGAGAATGAGGGGGATATATTTTGCCCATGCACGTCTCTAGGAGTTACGTTTGACAGCATCGATGTTTAAAAAGCCGCTGCAAAAGTTACACTTTGCGGCCGAGCTTCACTGAACCCGCCCCTTTTTTGGAGGTCCAACAAATGGTCAAGCTGGTTTCCCTTCCAAGAGTCTGAGTTTCACTGAAACCGCCTTTTTTTTGGAGGTCCAACAAATGGTTGAAATTCTGGGGGGTCAACCCTTATGCACACTGCGCCCCTTTTTTGGGAAGCACGACCCAGCGGTGCAGGGGGTTCAACCCTCAGAATGTCGCACCGCCGCACCGCCCAGCGGCTTGCGTCCCAGCCCGGAAAAAAGGCGGCGACTTCGAGATGAGCGAGGACAGCAAGAAGCAGCTGGCCCCGGGCTCAGGGCCTTGACGTGTTGCTTACCCTCCCATCCACAGTTTCTTTGGTGCATTTGGCCAAGGGATGTTAGCACTTGAGAACCTTTGGCCAACGAAGAGGGGTTTTCCGTTAATCCACTAAAAGTCAAAGTTGACCCCAAATTACTCAACCAACCTGTTTTGGAATGCCAAGCATGCCAAGCATGGGCATTTGCTTGCGCTTTCCAGAGCTTGAGGTTATTTAATAGGGTGTCCCTTTTGGAGGGGAACACACACCTATGAAGAAACGGGGGTTCATTCGTATGGGGCCTCCCTCCCGTCCGCAGATGGAATCTGACCATGTGAATCGACAGGAGTGCACGTGCTGTCAAAATTTGCGCTTTTCCACATTTGGAAGATTCATGTGTAGCATTGGAGGAGCTTGCGTGTATAGCACAATTCCAGGCTGAAGAGATTGCAATCCACATATCTCTAGATACATTCTGTTTACTTCTCAACCCAAGAGTCAAGAGTCCTTTTCCAAAAGTTGTTTCCAGCGTTTTTGGGCAAAGAAAGAGGAAAGACTTCGCTTAACGAAGGGGAAGGTTCCAAAGCAAAAAAAAAAAAAAAAAAAACAATCTCTTTGCAAGGGAAGGAGACTCTAGGTAGCTGCCAGTTATAAAGAACATGTTACATACTCCCCTGTTAGCTTTAGCGCGGACTCTCTCTCATGTGGCAACGGCGCACGGCGGCAGCAGTGCGGCCGTGACTCTGGGAATATGTCTCTTTTTTCCACAGAACGTGATCGCAAATGGATTTCCTTCAAACACTTATCAAGGCCTTATTGAGGACGTATCTGGAGGACACCAAAAAAGGGGGGATTGGCTGTTCTTGACCATTTTTTTTGGTTTTTGGTTCCGTTCGTTTTTGGTATTTTGGGGGGCTGCAACAAACAACCTTCAATGTTTGAAGCCCATACCTTTTGGGTTGTGAAGGTTACAGCCATAGCTGAGGAAGAGATGCAGAAGCACCTGCTGGCGCGGTACCGCCATGGCTCGGTGAGCGTTGTCTTCGATGTGGTGCCTCAGGAGGTGTTGGACGAGACATTCAAGAACAAGGTGGGGGTGGGGGCGGGGCGGGGTGGGGTCTGTGGGGCCGAGGGAGAATGGCGAGGTGGGTTTTCAGGTATGGGTTTTGGAGCTACTGTGGGTTGCGAAATCCGTTTCGCACCACCTACCAAACCCTGATTTCGGATGATTCCCTGGCAACTGCCAACAAACAACGGTTTCTCATGGGTTCCAAGTGGTGCAGGGTTTCATCCATCCGCAGCATGGATGGTTATGTGCCATTATGCTTGTATAAGTGGCAGACACTGCCTTACAGGTATGGCTCAGCTGCAACCAAAGCGAATCGACCGGATCAGACCTGTTCAAACTTTTGGTTTCCTGCTTTGGTCCGTTTCTAGTCATGGCCCCAACAGTTCAACCTTGTATTTCTGGGTCCCTTGGGCAGGTGAGATGGGTTTTAAAGGTATGGATGGTTATCGCAAAATATAGGCTTGTAAGGCAGCATGTGCCACTTATGCAAGTGGCACAACCTCCATATTCAAAAACCCATACCTGGAAACCCTCTTGAATTAGGGGCTGGAAGACAGCAGGTTCTCCCAAAACAACACATTGGCCGGGCAGCTCTTCCTTTTTTACAGATATTGTAGTGCATTCATTTGGGGAAGTGATGAACTGGCGGGGGGGCAAGGACAAGGCTTCGACCCTCACTCCGGATCGTCTCATCAACTAGTTTTTTTTTGGTGTGCTGGGGCAATGTGGCCTCCCACATGGAACTCAACAGCAGCCCGTTCCCTTAGAGCGGTTATCGGTTCCAACCGTTGCTTGCAAAGGAAGGACCTTACGAATTACAACAAGAGCTGGCGCTTGGCTGATTTTGAAAGGTTCTCGCTTTCCGTATTGAGCAGGTTGCTCAAACCGCCGGGTGGCTGTTGTTGACAGGATTCTATATAACCTGCAGGGGATACAAGTGTAGGTTAGAAAGCAAATCCACGCCAGCGAGACTCTTCCACTTTGAGACTTTTCGAGTGACATCCTGGATGGCGGTATGTTGTTGTTTTTTTGTGGCTGGTGGCCGCGTACGGCCTTTGTGCAGCCCGTAGTTGTTCAACAAGCTGTTGACAAAACAGCACGTACAAGACCGTGAGGCCATTTATTGTGGCCCAAGCTGGATGGACAGAAAGCAACAACCCTCCCAATGAACAACATTGTCTCTCGGCGAAGCATCAACGCCGGTGTTGTTTTTGTTCCATTCGCCAATCGAGGGGTAAGTCCATGCCGTCTTCGCTTCATTGTTGGCCAAAGAAACGGGTATGTCACGGTATGTCCATGTTTTGCACGGACGGTTGGAAAAGTTTTGGGGTACTCAACCAAGGTTCCCTTTTTGGCATCTCCAGAAGTAGCAATCGTTTTATTGGACACCACCAGCAACCGTCCATTTGCTGAATATGTGTAATTTCCTTTTGCTGGTTTTAATGTTGGGTTTTCTCGATTGTTCCAGAGGGCGAAACAGCAGATGGAAAAAATGTTGATCAACTTAAGCGGAAATTGGCAAACAAACAGTTTAGACCATTGTTGGGCCAGTGATGGAACCCACCGGTAACATGATAAACTTTTGGGGAAATCCTTTGTGATCCCTCTCCTCACTTCATCTTTTGATCAAGATCATTTTGGTGGCACACAACACTTCCACAGGAAAACAGCTGGTTTAGGGCGTTTTGGGGATATCCATTTCCTGGTGCTAGGAGCCCCTTTGACCCTAAATATGAGGGCCTTTGACCCCCAAAGACCCCAAACAATGAGGTCCAAGCAGCTCCTAGAATGCAGATGTTCCTGTAATCATGGGGGCTGGTTGGAGGGAGGGCAGGGGGAGGGAGCCCAACTAAGCCCTTATGAAGCCCTTAATAAGGCCTTTGGACAATATTTGGGGCTCCCTCCCCCTCCCCTCCCTCCCCCCCAGCCATGATGTAACCAAACCCCTCCGACTTTCTCAAGTTGCGCGTTTTAAGCCTCCATTTGGTCAGACTTTCTTGTCCCCAAGCCCTCTGCCTGGCTCTCCCCGCCGCCGAAAAAACAAAATCCCTCGCGCCGCGCCGCATGCGCGTCGGGAGGTGGTGGGCCACAGCCACGGAATCATCACGGAGGGCCAGCAGCACGGGGACGAACGCGAGCGCGTGAGCTACGGCACCATCCCCTTGGACCCGCCTCCGCTGATCGCCTGCCAGCCGCTTCGGCATGCGAAGGATGCGAAAATCGAGAAGCGAACTGCGAAAGCCCCCCAAAACAGGGTTTTTGCCACCTTCTCGGGGGGGAGGGGGGGGGGTGGGTGGAGGGTGAAGGGTCAAAACTGCCTGGTTTGCTTTTGGGTTGGATTTGAAGGGGGGGTGAGGAGGGTAGGTGGAAATGCCCATCTTTAGACTTGAACTTTTTGACAATTCGTGTGGTTTTTCCCATAGAACTCAAACTCCCTGAGTTCATGGACTTTAGACACTTTGTGGGTTTGGACCGTGCCAGTGGCAAATAAAATGTGGATTTTGTTTTTGGCCAGTCAACTCAGGAAGTGAGTTTGCCCTCGCTCCAATCATGGAAGCTGAGAAGAGAGTTTTGCCCTCACTCCAACAAGCTTACTATGATGTAGGTCCTTTCTTGGGGATCCTTGATTCTTTGAAATATGCCAAAACAACGTGCATTCAAAATGGTTTTGGATTTTGGATAACGGCGTTCCTTTCTGGGGAAGCCCCATGTCCCTTCATTTAGCAGACGTGCACCCCAGATGTGGGCCCAGACGGGCATCTCATTTTGGAGCAACTCTGATCGCCTCATGAATGTAATGCGCACATGGCAGGCGTGCATTATTGTATCCGTGCCCATGCCTGGTATATTGTATGTGTGTTTGTGTGTTTTTGGCTAGCACCCAAAGAGGTCGAAATGGGATCTTGGGTTACGTAGGTTCGTGCAGTCAGCCATTGATTCTGTGCTACCGAGAGTCTCTCTGCAGCCGGGTTACTGTCATCATGTTTGTTTCATTTTAGGCGGTTCCCACGCGCGCAGTCAGAAAGTGAGGGGGAGTCCTTCAACTTCTGCTTTTGCGTGATTTCGGCGCGTCTTCGTGGTGCCGGGCAGCATGTTCGGGGCTGTTTTTTCCAAGGGCAACCAACCTTCTTGGGCACTGAGGGTTGCAGAGTGTTTTGTGGCACCAAGGCCGCTTGATCAGCTGTTGCTCAAGGCTCAAAAGGTCTCCCTACCGTATCAATTCGTCGATGCAAGTTGGGGGCCATTTGAAGCAGGAAGCCTGTCCTCTTCATCTTCAGCAAATCGTCATGGTTTGTTTGGGGGGGGGGTGGTAATCTTCAGCCATGGTGTTTGTTTCTTTCTTTCTTTTTTCCTCAAAGTGTTTTGAGCCGGCGGTGTTCGGTACTGTTTCGGTCGAGAACCTATCAACCCCTGCGTTGTTTGGCAACGGACCCCATGCGTATTTGTCCCTCAGGAAGGGCTGCAAGGGCTTCAAGGACGGGAGGGTCAGTTGGATGAATCACTTGCCGGTTCTTCGCAGGGAATGGGGAGATGACCCCTGTAAACCATCCCTTGTGGTTTCCTGGGAAGGTGTAGGTTCTCGTAGGTGTCCTGTTGATCAGCTACCTTGGCGAAACATAGATGGGTTCCACCGGTTTAGCTGGGTCTCATGATCCGTTTAGCAGGCCCATTTGTGTTTCCAAAGGCAACCTATGTTGCTGGTTCTTCGCGGGGCATGGTTGGGATGATCCCCCATAAGCCATTTCCTATGGCTTCCGTTGAGGGAATCCCTAGGTTCATTCCCAACACCCTGAAGGTCATTCCCTACTGAGCACCAGCAGGAACATGGGTGTGTGCGCTTTTGAGGGTTTAAAAGGATGCCGCTTTTGACAAGAACCAAAATGGCACAATTCTTGAATTTCAGTTTCGTTTCGAAACATGTGTGTGCCAGCTACTTTCATCCCGGCGCCCATGAACCCACGTCTTGTCCTGTAATATGATCCCTTCGCCTGCCTCGCCTTTTGCCACCACACAAGGGGGTGCTTAAGTTCTGGCTCATTTGAGCCAACTTGAAATGTCAAATGGATATTTTAAGAGCTCCCCTTTTTTGGGGTGACGCAAGTCGGAAGTTTGCGTTCCTGGTGTCCTTCTACCCCGAAAGGTCTTGTTCACTCCAAGGGAGAACACTGCAAGCCGGAGGCGTGCTTACGAGCCTTGGGCCAAGGGTAGTTGCTTCCATGGTTTACGTTTTCGGCTTGCGAAGATCTCTACATGGTGCCCAAGAATCCGGCGAACTCGCGCGAGAAATGGCTTGCCAAGTCCTACATGGCGTCCAACAAATCGTCGACAAACTCGCGAGTTTGAAATGGCTTGCAAAGTTCTAGGTGTCCAACGAATCGGCGAACTCGGCGCCCTTTTGAAATCAGAAGAGAGACCTGGAGATGTGCGCCTGATCCGTCCGCCGCCAGATGTCGCCAGATGTCGCCAGGACACCTCGCCGAATCAGGATAACTTCAGCATCACGCATTTCAAGAGCGGGTACACCCTGATCTGCACCTTCGATGGCCATGGGCCTTTCGGCCCTGGCCTCAATCAGGCTCTGAAGCCAATGGTGGAGATATGGAGGGAGGTGTGTGTGTGTGTGTGTGTTTTTTTTTCTGACATCCCAAAGATGGTTGGTTTCCGAATGGGGTTTCCCTTTAAAACCAAACAAGGGGTGCCCTCAAGACATGACACACCCATATCCCGGAAAGCTAACATGGAGCCCCCCCGAAAACGAATAAGTCATTGCCAGGGGAACTCCATTGAAAGTGAAAGGGCGAACCCCTCGACGGGTTCCACGTTGATTTAGGTTAGTTTGGGGAGCATCTTTTGATTCGGATTGGTCACAAACACATTCCGCCATAGGTGTCCTTTTTAGGTTAGTTTGGCTAGAAATAGATGACCCTGGTTTGGATGGTTTTTGTTTTAGCCATTTACCAGGGCCTCCCTTTTTGTCCAAAGGCCAAACACATTCCGCGCTAAGGCCACATTGTTTCAACACGTACAGTTCAAACAGTGCCGTGGTTCATGGTCAACGAAAGCGGCTTCGGCAACGACACCATCAACGAGGCTGACATCGAGAAGGCGGGGACTCACAGCTGGGGACAGATGGCGCTGGGTCCTTGACAGCCCATGTCGATGTTCGTGTCAAAGAATATATTGACGGCAACGATGTTTGCTTCCTTTTTCTGGAAACATTAAATTTTCAACAACATCTAAACGTTATCAAGTGGACGTACTACCAGTTGTCGCGACTTTTGGCCGCTTTATTTCGGCCACAAAGGGTCATTGCCCAAGATAATGAGGTCATGGACCCATCTTTAAAGGGTCATGGAGACTCCAGGCACTTACTTGCGAGCTAAATTCGGAAACCGAACCACAAACCAACTAAGCCAACTAAACCAGCTAAACCAACTAACCCAACTAAACCAGCTAAACCGACTAAACCGACTAAAGAGCTAAAGAGCTAAGGAAACGGATGGCAAACCACCCAGTGCCTCGTGGAGACTGGTGGATGTGCTATGGGCCCTGCTGGATCGGATCCGGAAAAGTGCGGTCAAGTTTCGTAGACGTCTCTGGCACTCGGGGTCAACGGTAGCTATCGGAGCCCGAAGTTAAAGCAAAAAACGCCAGCCAAGCAAACAACAAAAAAAGAGACAGCCGCAGGGTTCCTGCAAGGGGGTTTGCTTACTTTTGTTTACGGAACCCATTGCCTGGCAGATCCAGGAAGCGCCCACTCAACAGGACACTTCCAGATTCAGGGGCTGCCCACGCAAAAAGCCGGGGCCGCTGGTTCTTCTCACTGAGTCAGTGGACACACTTTACACTTTTTCCCTAGGTGGCCCTCCCTTTATTTGAGTGGTGGCCCAAAAAGTGTGCACTGTTTTTTGGGCCGGCCGCTGGCTAAGTGAGTACATGGTGGTGTATGAGCCAAATGCAGGGGCCATGCGGTGGTTCACAAAACCTCGAGGTAGTGGGAATCATCATAGAGAAGCGCAATCAGTACGTGCTTTTGGGGAGCACTGGTTTCTCCAAACATGTTCTTTGGGAGTTATGTCAAGGGGAAATATCCAGGGAACCTATCCTGAGTTGCCCAGTGGATTCCGCCCTTCTTTATCCTTTGTTTTTGGGAAGGGAACCCCCCCTTTAAAGTCCACCACCCAAAAAGGACGCCTTTTTTTTGGCATGGTTCCATTGGGCCTCTTCCATCATGGAAATATCCTTTGTCTTTTTTTTTCCGCTGGCGAGGCCCTGATCAACGCCTTCGAGAAGGCGCGGAGCGGGAGATTTCTCCCGAAGCAAAAGAACCTTCGGCCTGGGCCCGAAGAAGCGACCCCAGAAAGAAGAAACGAAGTCACTCCATTTTGGGGCAACCAAGAATTCCAACTTTTCTAAGTTGGAAATTTGGGCATCATTTTGGGGGGTCATCAACTTTTGAGTTGGCATGTTGGCCATACTTCTGGGGCAACCAATTTATAAGTTGGGATTTTGGCCATAAGTTTGGGGCAACCAACTTTTAATGGAATTTTGGCCAGAATTCTGGGGCAACCCATTTTTAGGCTGGAATTGAGGATCCGGGTTGTGATAAAGTAGTCTCTAGGAAGTACGGCGTTGTGGTATCACCGATGGTGTTATATGTCCCATTTGCTTTAGCAACCCTTGGTGGCTTGGATTTCAAGCTTTGGTACATGGGGGGAACCAACCGGACACTCACCCCCCCTCTCATCAATTGCATTGGTGAGCGGTGGCTTGGGCCAGTTGACCGCAAGTGGAGGGAAGCTGATGGTGTCTTCTCACTTCCAGAGCTCCTGGACTATTCAGACCATTTTGGTGGTAAATCGCAAGCTGGTCCCTTTTTTCGTTGCTGCCATCCAGTCACAAAGGGAGGTTTTCAGGGGGAAGCCCTGAAACCACGCGGATTTTCCTCCCCAATCGGGGGCAACGGTGACACGGCCCAGCAATGGCTTGGATTCGAAGCCCTGGCGGGTCAAAACCAGACACCCCCCCTCTCATGAGCAATTGGTGAGCGGTGTCTTGGGCCAGTTGACCTTACTCACTTCCTGGTCCCGAAGCTGAGTAAAAGTGGTTGCCCTTACTCACTTCCTGGGTTCCTGGTGAGACCATTGCGGCTGTAAATGTTGGCAAGCCCATTTTGGTAAGACCATTTTGGTGTTTACACTTTTTGGGTTTCAACCAGTTTGGTTCGTTTTTTTGGGCCCTCCACTGGGGAAGTGAGGTTTTTGGCGCGGAGGAAGGGGGTTCCTTCCGCCACCCCGCGGATTTTCGTTGACCCAACCGCGGGCCACGGGGGAAACAGCGACGCGGGAGGCGCAGAAGGACGTGGTCGCCCACTCCCTGGAGAACGACTGGGACGTGCAGGCCAGCGGCAGCACAGCCCCGCCCCCAGCGATTTCTGCGTTTTTTGTTTTTTTGTTAATCTTGTTCGGTGCGAGGCCGACGTGGTTTTTGGTGGGGGAAGCTTTGGTTTGGGAGGCGCCAGGATCCAGGAAGCTTCAAAGATGGGGTGTGGAGGCTCCAGGGACCTTCCAAAATGATAAAAGCAAATTTTGGGCATGACCCGAAGCTTTCTGTTGGGTGACCCCATGTTTAGAGGGTCAGAAGGAGACTTTCATGGCCTGCTGAAGGTTTTGCCTCATGAGACTCTTGGGCGAATTCCAAGCTCACCTCGAGCCACCCATCCGGTTTTTTGAAGTGATTTTGGAGCTCCCCCTTTTTTGGTGTGTGTGTGTGTGTGATTGTTTTTGTTTTTTTTACGTATGTGTGTATGTCTGTGTCTGTTTTTGGCTTGGCTTGGGGGCTGAGATCCGTGAGATCCGTGAGATCCGGTCGGCTGGATCCGAGGCGGTGGCGGCGCTCTTCAAGGGCAACAAGGTGTGGACGGCCAACGCAGGACGATCCATCCGAAATCGATCGCTCCGAATTCGAAGTGGGCCCTCCCGACCTGTGGACCAAATCCATGGCGCACCCCAAGACACCATGGGGAATCGGAATCGTTTTGTTTGTTGGTGTTTGCAGGGGAATCGAATCATTCTCAAAGGTTTTTTGAACGGTGGTGCGATTTCGTGGGATTTCGTGTCCATCCACTCGAATGGGTATGGCTGAACTCCTGAAACCAAAGCTCTCTGAGAAACTTGCTGGTCCAATATGGTAGTGGGAATGAACCCAGGGATTCCTTAAAGGAAACCACCAGTTGGATCGTTTACAAGCGTTATAAGGGTCATCCCTCATTCCCTACTGAGCAAATTGGCAACAATGAACCCAGGAACAAAGGCCAAATGGAAATCGAAAGGTTGGCTTAGCTTGGTGGCTCCCAGCGAATCGTCCGGTTTCAACTTAGCGTTTTCGCTTTTTGGGGTTCATCCTCTTAGCTTTTTTGCTTTTTTAGCCTTTTTGCTTTTTGGCCTTTCAGCTTTTTTTAGAATTCATTCCCTTAGCTTGGTAGTTCTTTTTGGTTGGTGTAGTGGTTGGGTGTCAACTTCTGCCACAAGTTGAACCAATTTAGCAGGGATTTGAGGACGGCCCAGTACTCTCATCCTTGGCAAATCTCAGTTGTCCAAGGTGAATCTGCCAGATCTAAACTTTTGGTTTCCACTTGTTGGTCTATTTGTAGTTACTAAAGGTCACAAAAGGTTAACCTTGTATGTCTGGGTCCTTTGGGGAACTGAAAATGGGGAACGCCCTCCCAAGTAGGTGGGATTGCTGCAATCCCCATGGAAACGCTGTCCACCAAGGCGTCCCTCATTAGGATTCGTGCCCGGGCAATGTCCCACTGCGACCCTCACTTGTGTGGGGCGGAGTCCTATGGCACAAGAGAGAGAGAGAGAGAGAGAGAGAGAGAGAGAGAGAGGGAGAGAAATAGATATATTAATACATACAAATATCAATAGATAGGTAGATAGATCTAGATAGATAGATATAGATAGATCTATAGAGATGAACAAATCAATATTATCCTATATATATATATGTGTGTGTGTATGCACATAAGGACATGCATGAGGAGGTGCGCAGTTCGGGGCATGGATAAGCTGGCAAAACCAGGATGCCCAAGGGAACCAGGTCCTTTGGGCTACATGCTCAGATCAACCCAAGCCGCCAATCAAGGGTAAAGTGAATCAGCAACTTGACATATGGGCGTGTTATCCAAATCGGGGCATCCGTATTGCTATCCCTTTGTACTCTTTCACAACAGCTCAAAATTGGGCCGGTGCATAATGCGCAGAGCACTTTTCTCGAAGTCGCTAACCAGCTGAAACAGCCGGTGGTTTCCCTTTGCGCCAAAGAAAAATCCGGTTGGTTCCCCTTAAACGGCCGGTGGTTTTCCTTTTGGTAGTTTTCCTCACTCCCTGATTTGCTGGACTGTCGTTACTTCTTGCGCTTGGACCATTTGAGAGCTATTCCCAGCAAGTCTGCCATTTTAAAACCATTCCCCCACAAAAGTGAGTGATCGCCAAAAACCATCTCAGGCGCATTCCCTTCATGACATTTCTCTCCGTAATTGCCCCTGACGGTGGCTGGTCTTCATGGGCTCGTTTTTTTTGTTTTTCTCCGGGTCCCGGGGACGTTTTTTCCCACTCCACTCGAGAGACTCGGCCCATGACAAGCGAAGCTCGGAGCGAAGCTCGGAACTCGAAGGAGACTCCCGCTGCGCCATAGGCTCTGAGGCCGTGCCTTGGCTTCCATGGCCCACCCGTCTTTGTGTTTATGTTTTTTGTTTTTTTTTTGGGGGGGGGTACCCAACAAAAATTGGGCGGTTAAAAGGGGAAAACAGCAGGGAGCCACCGGGAAAAAGGCGCCTTGAAGGGAAACAACAAAGGAAATAACCTTGAACATGGTTGTTTGCAAGGAACCCAATGAGCGTATTTGAGGCAGGGTTCACAGTCAGGACCCATTTCAGGGTTCAGTCAGGACCTCCTGATCAATCTGCAGTTAACAGCAGGGTATGTGAAATGGGGGTACTTTGGTTTGCCTTGAAGCCAACCTAGACAAGAGTACCGTACCCTAAGAAGACAACCCCTATTTTTGTGGTGACCGCTCTCGGAAAGTTGGAACCAGTAGGCCTACGAAACGTCTCTTGAAAGTCGCGCCTTTTTTTTTTGCCGTGCCGAGGACAAGAAGGTCATTTTTGAAACGGAGGATCACAAGCCGCAAACTGAGAAGGAGCGCCGCAGTTCGCATATCGTGGGTGCTTGGTCACAAACTTTGCCCTTTGACCCTTAGCACACAATCAAAGGGTCTGAGAAGTCTGGAAGCTCTCTTTGGAGGCAATACCTTTTTGATCGGATCAAGTCACGGGTTGTGTCGCTTCGAACGGGCGGCCCTGCACCAACCTTCGCCGGCCCTTGCACAGGAGAAAGCTCGAATCGAGTCCATGGGAGGAGAAGTTCGCTCGCAGACGTACCCGGCCGTTTGGCAGCAACGAGACACAGGGCATCTTCTTTTGTCAGCGGTGTTGGAGGGATTGTTGCGAGATGGCGCTGCACAGCAAACTCAACTGTAAAAACAATGTGCCCTCTTGCCCATGCTGAGCGGGGTTGTGGGGCAAGGTCTGCCAACATCTCTCCCGACATTGGGAGTGCTGGTTGTATGAAGGGTTGAGCAGGCCACTCATCCAATGCAATGCAGCAGGATATGATATATCAGATGTTGGAAAATATACCATCGTATGGATGTTAGGCCGGGTTGCTCGGCTCAGGTAATCTTAAGTGATCTTATGTAACTGTTGTGTTTCGCTCACTGGTGGACCTGTAGGGTGGCTCTACCGGGAGGTCTGTCACGACATGGCAATGCTGGGTCTGAATCCCCACTAAAAGAATTGGGACCTCCCCCGCTCAAAATCAACCAGGACGGTTTTTCATCGGGGTTCCCACTCGTCAAGTTTGGTCCACGTGCCCCTAGGGACCCGGTTGCCACGCTGCAAGCACCTGGTGCTCAGGACGGATGGGTGAACCACCGCATCTTCATCAAGGGCAAGGAGCAGTTGCAGAATTGGAACTACCCGGGTCCCCTGAACACTGGAATCCACACGGTTCACTGGGTGCGAAATAGCCAATCATTTTCAATCTACCGGAACTTCGAAACCAACGGGGATGGGTATGTTTGTCACTTTTTTCCAAACCCGCTCTTTCGCACTCTGGAAAGGAGGCAGTTTCAACTCCACACCTGGACGCTGACACTATAGCAATTGGACATCACCCCCCAGAATTTGGGGACATCTCCGATTTTGAAGGGCATCGTCCCCTAACATGGAAAATGTGGCGTCCCCTTTGACATTTTGAAGGAAACTTGTCTTCCAGCCCCCCCTTCCCCCGGCCCCCCCGCGTGAGGTTCCAGGGTTTATGGCCAGGACTACCCCGGTCTCTGCATGGCTCGCACGCTGGGCGACCAGTCGGTGAAGGACCACGGGGTTTGCGCAACCCCCGAGGCGGGAGTGATGGAGTCCTCGGGGTCCTCGAGCCTCACGCGCGCGGGCGCATGACTCATCTGTGAGTTTGGGGACCTGGACCCTCGAAAAGTTCCCTTGAAAATGGGTGATTGCCGCACAATCCCTGGAAAATGGGGTATTTTGCCTTTTCCACTGTTTGGGCGATACATAAGCCTTCGCCCCCCTGGAAGTGTAGAAACCCTGTTCAAGGGAGGCGGTTCATTTCAGTGGAAAAGGCAAACCCTGACCTGGACCCTCGAAAAATACCCTGGAACATGAAATTTATTGCCCCAAAATTATTTCTCACTTCCTGAGTTCATGAACTTTAAGCTTTTTGGGAAGAGCCATTTAGTCTAAATAGAAAGTGGGCCATCCACTCAGCAAGTGAGCTTATGGCGTGAATGTCCCTTTTTAGATACTGTGGATGGTTGCCAGATCCATTCGCACCAACCTAAGAAACCATGGGAATGAAACTATAGCGTTGGTTGGGATTTGCTGGGGAGTCATGTTTCCAGGGTTTATTAGCTGGCGCGACATGGATTTTGTCCATCCACAGTAGCTAGATAGAAAGATGCATTTGCTACCTACTGTGGATGGACAAAATCCAGAAATCGCACCACTGTGCAGCATCCCGGGAATGATGTGATTCCCCTGCAAATGCCAACAACCAATGGCTTCAACCATGCAGTTTCAAAGTGGCAATAGGGCCTAGGGATGTGTCTCAACATGGGATTGTTTTTGGTTGCTTTGTGCATGCCAACCACAAGCAGGTTCGTCGTTGTTTGAAGCATTCATTTGGGTTTTCTATGTGTCTTCTGTTTGCATTCATGTTGCATGGCCACTGAACGTCGTCGAATCAATGGAAGAACTGGACATCTTGCAGGGTCGAGCTCCATTTCTGTTGCCTTCTTCCCTTGTTCATTGTTCATTGGCGGCCTTTGGGGGGCTGGCTGCACGAACATGCCTCCGAGGTTGAAACGAGGAGTGGCGTTGGCACTTTTAGGGCTGATGAGGTGAAAGTATGTGAAAGTAACAACTCACTCGCAGAGTTATTGGACTTAAATCTTTTTGGGAAGACAGTTTTAGCGGTAAGCAGCAATTGGACTTTTGTAGGCCAATCCACTCAGGAAGTGAGACATTGGCTGTTTCGGAAGAAGCCATTGGTCGTTCCCCTACCATGTTCCGTTTTACATCCCCCCCGCCTCCTGAGCCACTAAACTGCTGCATCAATTGGCCTAGGGAGGAAATGTCCAGACCTTTGGCATTCACCAAATGGGTGTTGCCTAGCATGCCGGGCCCCTCCCCCCAAAGAAGAACCACCACTGAAAACAGACGGGTCCACCCGCAGCCAGAGTCTTCAGTTTCCAAACTTTTCAAGCCCCAAAAGCCCCAAGGGCCAAGGCCATCTTGCGGGTCGGAGCGTTTCTGGCTTTCCGACTTTGAGGATGGGTGTTGGGAAACGGGATGAAACGGGCTTTTTCAGTGCTTCGTTTGGCCAGTCCTTTCAGGAAGAGAAGCATGGGCAGGCTTTAGCCTACCGTGGCAGTTTTCGCCAGAGTGCCAGGTGGCACTCACAACGGTGGACCTCTCCAAGAAGGTGCCGGGAAAACGGGACATGTCGGTCCGCTCTTGAAAAAGCCGCCGGCAGCCTTCTTGCCCCCACCCGAAATGGGGGGGGTGCTTTCGGAGGCCAAGATCCTTTCCATCCGAAGAGTCTTCCATTTGGGCTAAAATGACTTCTTCTTCTTTTCATTGTCCCCTTGGTTGTAAAGTTGGAATCAATTTCAGGACTGGACGCAATTTCTTGGTTTTTCCTGGGGGCGAAAAAGGAGGAAATGGGGGGGGATCAAGTGCCGTCAAACATGGAAACAGAGGGGGCGTTGTTCCATGATTGCTTGATTTGTGGCGCTATTTGACGTTAGATGAAACTCAGCAAAACTTTGGAAGCTGGGAGCTAGCGGTCTTCAGTGTGCAAAGCGGCGGGAGCTGCAGCTTTGCCAGTGCAACCGTGTGGCCAGTTGTACCAGCAAGGCAGCCGTTCTGTGGATGGACAAGTTTTTCTTCGTGCTAGTTGGTAGGTGGTAGCAAAAGTCCTTACTACTAAGTGGGTTTCAGTTGCACGGTTTCGTTCTTCTCCAGTTAGTGGTAGCAAAAGTCCTTGTTAATAACAGGGTTTCATCCATTCCAACTGGTGTCGGTCTGCCTCGCCTTGCGAGGCCGCGAGTAGCTGGAATGTCGTGCTTGCCAGTTCGGCTTAATCCAGACCCGAAAGCCACACGGAAGCCACAAGTCGACAAGGGCTGCAGCTCGAGCTTTGTCGCTGAGTTCCGTTTCGAACTTCAGTCACTCTTGGGGGTTGGTTGCCATGTTAGTGGTCAACAAGTTCCTGGGTACTGTTTTATTGTTGCCAATCCACTCGATCGGTGAGGTTAAAGTTCGCGCATGGAAAACATCTCGAGACTCATTCGCAGAGGTGTTCTTCATCATCGCGAGCGATGGCCGGGGCACTGAGAGCTCACTGTTCTGAGCTTTTGGCTGCAGGGTTCCTTAAGTGATACATTTCAGACTAGTTTATGGCAAGCTCACCAGGTCGGGGCTACAAGGAGCGAAAGCCATGTAAGGTTTCCTTGCTTGGATCCGATTCTGATTCAGCTTTTGGAAATTCAGTAAGATTTGCAGATACATGTGGGCCATCAAACCTTTTACCGGGTTCCTTTGGCAAGGTGGTTAGATGTATCTTTGAAGAACTGGTTCCTGTCATAGACATGCGCAGCTTGTCCCAAATGTTTTCCATGGGTTGCCTTCTTAGTTCAGTTTGGTTGAAATTAGATGGGTTTTACTGGTTGCAGGTGGGTTCAGTTGTCCTTTGCCAGTGCATTTTTTTATATCAAAAGGACACCTATGTCCAGCAGAGGCCCTCAGCACCCCTCTATGAACTCCTAAGAAGGTTCCAAGAACCCCGTTGCCCGGGCCCTAGGTCTTTTCCTGGAAGCTGTTTTTTCCTTTCTTGATGTCAACCCATACACACCCAGCACCCTTCTCTTTACCCCCCCCCGGCCTCAGCACCGGACCTGGCTCAGCACTTTGCCGATGCTGCCTTCCCTTGGGGGTTTCCATTGGGCTGAGAAGCAGGAAGCCCCAACACTCCGGTTCTCATCTCAGGCTCACTTCCTGAGTTCATGAACTTTAAACTTTTTGGGAAGACCCATTTTAGTGGTAAATACAAAGCTTGGACTTTTTTAGGCCATCCACTCACCTCAGGGGTACTTTCAAACCTTGCTGGAGGCCTTACAGACACGGCCGGAAAGCAGCCAGCCCTACGAAAGCCTCCACAGACACCCCCGCCACCCGGGTCCCAACCACTGCTTTTCGGTGGCCGCGCTTGGGATTTTGGACATGTGGACAAAAAAGCAGGTGGGGGGGGTGCCGGTGCAGACACCCCTACTCCTCTTCATTCTGCTGCACCTAAGAGCCTTTGAAAGGATGATTCTCCTGTAAATGTTAATGAACCATGGTTGCCCACGGTGTCAGCTTGGTGCGAAGCGGATGTCGCAACCATCCACAGTAGTCAGGGAATGAGGGCCCGAAAAGCCATTCCCTATGGTTTCCTTTAAGGGAATGCCCCAGGTTCATGAACTTTAAACTTTTGGGAAGACCATTTGAGCGGTAAATGCAAAGTTTGGACTTTTTTTAGGCCATCCACTCAGCCAGTGAGTTAAGGGAATGCCCCAGGTTCATGTTCTCATCCCTGAGGCGTGTGGGAGTTCTTGGACTCTCAGTTCGTCGTGAAGGCTGTGGCCAAGAAGATCCAATCCGCCGCTCGGCGCAAGCCGCCTTCGGCGACGGGGACTGCCGGGAGGTTTCCTGGAATCCATCCGACAGGGGAGGGCCGGGGGGCTTGCTTGGGTGGATTGGCCAGCGGCGTTTCTGGCTTCACTTGTTCTGCTTTTGTGGTGCTTGCTGCCTTTTGGGTTGGTTGTGTCTTGGGTCTGCTCGGGATTCTTTGTGGCCTGTTTGCTTCCCGGAATTAGCTCCCCTTTTTGCTTTTCTGCTTTTTTGGGGTTCCCTTTGTTTTCCACTAACCAGGCAAAGAAGTTGTTTTGTTTTTTTTGCTGGGGTCCGATTTGTCCAGCCTAGTTTGGAGAGCTCAGAGAACCTCGTGGAACCCGCCACAGGGATTCCATACGTGGCAGGCGATAAGGATACTTTTCTAGTTTCTAGGTTCCCCACATTTCGGGCAACCCCGGCCATGAAGAATGACCACCCGGTCAGGTGGTGAGATGGCTAACTGGGTAGCACCCCTGCAAACGCCCACCAAACTCATTGAACCTCTTCTCTGGCCAGGGGAAATCTAACCAGCACACCATTCGGCCAACGATTTCCAGTTTCCTCCCTGGAAACGGGGGAAGCCGACAACAGAGGTCCCTTCTGATGGACGAAATCCTGCACCACCGATTCCCCTGCAAATACCAACCAAGACTGGTTTCCCATGGCTTCATTTCGTGGTGCGAACGGATGTTCTCTACCCACACAGTATATGTTTAAGCATATTTTGCCCCCCTCTTCCCCACTTCCGCCATGGAAGAAACTACCTTTCAACTGGTGCGAATGGATTTTACAACCACTCACAGTATGTAAACTCACTTCGAAGCAGATGTCACAGATAGAAATGTATCAACCCCTGTTTATACAGAGGGGAATGTCCATTTTTTGCGAGTTTAGTGGGGATTCAGGCCACTTTTGGAGGGGAACACCACCACATGAATAACCACAGGTTCCCCCTATTCCAAATACCATTTTTTCCAAGGTATTTTGTGCAAGACCTGGGTTTCCATGGTAAACACTTTGTTTTTTAGTAGAGGGTTGACCTCATACCCAAAAATTAAATGAGGGTCGTTGCAGTGGGGAATTGTCAATTCACCCGGGGTCAAGGTCTGGGGTCGGGTTCCTTCCGTGTGGCCCGCGGGCCTCAGCTTCGGCTCGTCAGGATGGCCCCGCCAAGACCCTGGAGAAGCTGCAGCGCGAGGCCAAGAAGCGATGGAAGGCGGAGGAAGGCCCGGGAACCCCGAGGGGGGAAGCGACCGGGCGCGGTCCCGACGTACGTCTCTTCGAGCAAGGGGAAACATCGAGCTCGACCTGAAGACATGGTTGTTGTTGGGAAACTTTTTGCACTTCTGCTTATTGTGGTTTAGGGTGTGGAATCCAACCGCTTAGCTGCTGAAACTTTTTTGTTGTTGCTCCCCTTCCAACGTCCGACGTCTGAACCGCAACTAGGTCCCCGAGTAGTGCCCTTCTCTACCAACTTTTGTTGGGGGAGGGTTCCCGTACTAAAGCAGGCTACAGAAAAAGTCTCTACCGGAGGACCTAGACAAAGCGGACGTCTGACCACAGGGACTTTCGAGCTATTCGACCTGAAGAGGGGCTTGGTGTCTTACAGCTGTTTTTCCCGTTTGAATCTTTATCTGAAGAGAGGTTTGCTCCCCTTTGAGAAGCGCTTGTTTGGTTTGTCTCTGATCATCTTCTAGCGCTGGCACTCGAGCAATTAGTTTCTTTCAGGAAGAGGTGCTGGACAGGTTGGTTTGCCCCAATATTTTATCTTGGTCACCTTTCAACCTTGGATTTCTTTGTGACCCCCCCCCCCAACACGTTTTTGCTAGCTAGGTGTTGGAGGTGTTGGTTTTCCCTTGGCCGCTGGGTTTCTCTATTTTTGTTTGTCTGTTGTTCTTTCGCTTATTTGTTGTTCCATTTATTGCCGGTTGTATTGTTTGCTTTCTGCTTCGTTCTGCCTCTCTCTCTCTCTCTCTTCTACTCTTCTTCGCTTGAGTGTTTGGCCTGTTTGCTTTCAATACTTAGGGAATCCACCGTTTCTCTCGTTGTGTGTTTATTTTCCCCTAGCTCTATTCCTCACTTACTGAGGAGGGAAGATCATTTTGGTGGTAAATAAACAGTTTGGACTGTATTTGGCCAATCGTGATGTCCATTTGTTCTTGACTTCTTTGCCATGCGGATTGCCAGCAACAGCTTGCCATCGCACAGTCTGAAACGAGCTCTGCTCAGGCGACTACTGCGTGGGGCGCCCAGATTTGGAGAGCGCCTTTTCGCCTTTTGGTCGTCTCAAGATGACGTCCTGTTCGCCCAAACCACTGCCACCACTTGGTGGCTCTCAGCCATCCGGTCCTTTAGCTTTTTAGCTTTTCGGTGTTTGGTTGGATTTCCTGTGAACCCACTGAAAGCTAAGCTTTTTGCGCGGGATCTGAGGATAGCCCAGCCCAGGTTAGGTTTTTGTTTGGACCATATGCCAAGGGTTTCGGCTTGGGTAGTTAGTAGTTTGCGGGGGCGGACACCGTTTCTTTTTGTTATTGGTGGCTCCCAGCCATTCGCTCCGTTAGCTTTTTAGCTTTTCAGTCTTTGCTGGTTGGATTTCCGTTTAACCCACTGAAAGTTAAACTTTAGCGGCGGATCTGAGGACAGCCCAGCCGATCTTTTTGTTTGAACTCTGCAACCACAATATGCCAAGCGTTTCCGCTTGGTTTGCTGATAGTTTGGAGGGTAGCGGACACGGTTGTGCAGTCTCGCGTCCTGCAAGGACGACATCACTTCTGTCCTGGTGCAGTTGCGCTGAGTCGCGTTGAATCTGCACGTGATCAAAATAGATCTTCGAGCTTCCTCCTCCTCCATTTGAGGGGCGAGCACTAATTCCGCCGTGTGGCGCAATGCCGCGGCGTGCTTTTTGGGTCTGCAAACGGCAAGGCTGACACAAGTTTCACCAGGACTGCATCGCGACATGCTCGAATCGAACGTTGTTCAAACATCCGCAGGGGGCCGTCGAATGAGACGTCACAAGGTTTGACGTCCCCTAGTGTCAACCGCTTCAACTGTTGACCAAACCATACAAGTCACCCTTGGCCACACTTTCGAATAATCAGATCACATCCGTCGCTGATTTCAGACAGGATTGGCTCTTGTTTCGTTAATGTCTACCAAAAAGCATCTTTTTAGAACTGCCCCCCGCCCCCCACGGGATGCTTCAAGCGCGCAACTTGCTGCCGCCCCCGCGAAACTGGCTTCAGCTGACGCGTAAGCTGCCGAGGGTCGTACTCTAGGGGCCTGCAGCATTTGGTCCGGCATAAATGCGATACAGGGGACGTGGCACATGGAAGCTGAACTTTTAGGGTAGAGTCGCATACGTTGAAGTTTTAGTCGGCAATCAGACAACTATCATGTCAGACACCAGGCTCAGCCGCCAAAAAAGGCTTCTTTCATTGTAGGCAACGGGGCCCGAGATGGGTTATCCAAGCCGAAACCGTGGGTCGAACACCCAGTGACACCTACATGCGACCAGGCAACCTTTGACGTAGAAGCGATGGGCGCTTCTTGGCCGGTGCGCTCGCGCATGGCGGCGGTTTGCGCCTTGCTGCTGCTAGCGCCGGTAGCTGGCAGCTCGGTGGCATGTTGTGTACCTGCTTCCCTCCCTGTGCACTAGCCTCTCCCTCTCCCCCAACAAAATAAAGAAAAAGGAAATAGCAAAAATCTATAAACATGTAATCAACAGAAAACAAACATCAGGAGCATAAACCTCAGACCTCGTCAAGAAGTTCAATCAAGCAGTCAACCAGCCGGCCGGCCGGCCGGCTGGGCATTCAGACAAGCAAGCAAGAGCGCAAGAACGCAAGGGCACAAGGGCACACGAACATACAAACGAAGAAGAAACACAAATGACATCAAATGACAAGGAAAACCATAAACCACCCCCTTGCTTTTTTCAGGAAAGTCCCGGTCGAAGATGACCACCAAGAGGATGCGCATAAGCCGGGTATGTCAATGTCTCAGACTGGGGACGTTCCCCCTGCTTTGGGACGGCTCCAAGGGACGACAAAAGGAAGCTAACCTGGAGGATTTCCTAACTTTGAGATTCATTCAAAGACTAAGACTTGGACCCAGAGATTCAAACCTCCCTTCCTGGCTGCTCCTGTTCCCCCTTTTCAACCTGTTCACATTTTGAGGGGGTGTTTTAACATTCGAAAGCCAGGGGTTGGGGTACAGCCGCGTGAGGCAAGCCGGTGGTTATCAACTTGGGCCCGCTCATGGATGACCAGCTGTTGATGGAGGATTTGTCCTCAGCCCTGGAGGCAAAGCATTGGCCGGCGCTGATTGAGGGACAGCAGGAGGAGTGCTGGAAGGGGGGGGGAAGGGGGAGGGGAAGGGGAGGGGAGGGGAAGGGAGGGACCCCTTGGTTTCTTGAAGTAAAGCCTTGAAGACTCACTACCTGAGTTCCTGGACTTAAACTTTTTGGTAAGACCGTGTTCGTGGTAAAACTGCTTATGCACTTTGGTGGGCCAATCCACTCCAGGAAGTGAGAAGAGGTTCTCAGAATGACTCTTGAAAAGGCTATTTCCCTTTCAACCACCACTACTAAAAGGGGCAGGGTGCTTGGCAAGTAGGTAGTAACCATGGTTATAACCCACCTAACCCATGGTTACAAGTGTCCGTTCAGTGGGCTGCAAACCGGCTCACTAACCACTAAGCACCCGATCGCCCCTTTAAGTAGGGTAACTGGGAAGGCGTACTTTTTTAAAGGGCTGTGGCTCGGTACCCAAAATGGAACCCGATCGGTAAGTGGAGACGTTGGCCGAAAAACCAGCGGTTTGTTCCCCCCAAACGTTTAATTTCGAGCCACAGCCAAATGGACCCAGCTGCCTTCTGAGGAAGGGATCCAAGGTCGGAAGGCTCCAAGTTCCTTGCGGCCAGCTTTTGGCTTGCCGAGGGGGTCACGTGTGGCGAGTCTTTCACGGGGGCTTGGGGTGGAGGGAGAGGGGGGGGGCCCCAAAGAAGCCCCGACTCAGGGCCTTATTGGGGGGTGAATAAAGGCTTATTTGGGCTCCCTCCCCCTCCCCTCCCCCCGCCAGCCCCCTTAAAGTCTTCCTCTAAATATCCATGGACGCGGAAGGGTGGAGGGAGAGTAGAGGGTGAAAGGGTCTTTATGGCTGTTTGGTAACGGATCTTTGGACTGCAACTTGTTGGTTGACACTTTGCGGATTTCCAAGTTGGACCCACACAAAGTGAGCAACTTTTTGCAAGACGGGGTCAACCGCCCGCAATGCCCGCAACCAAGAGGTGTGTCAAAAGTGAAGACTGGAGAGGGTGGAATTGATGGAGTTCCCATTCCCTCTGTCCATGTCAGGGCGTTTCAGAACAAATCGACGGCTCCTGGTTAAGTGATGGTGTCGCCAGGTATGCCAAATTTCTTCCAGAGATGGTGTTGAATGAGCCACCCTCAGGATGCCTATCCCCCCTAGATCAAAAAACAAGCACAATCAATGACACTGGTTTGGGCATCTCAGAACTTCCGAACCTTTCAAACTGTTTGCCGCTTCGGCGTTTTTTTTTTTTTTTTGTTCTCTTTTCCCATTTCAGTTTTAACTTGTTCTAAGGGGGGGTCTATGTTTACCAAAGACAAACCAAAAAGCACCCCCAAAACAGCACCTACAGTGGCTCCTTCCTTTCTCTTCAAAGGGAGCCTCCAAGAGTGGCGATCGTTTCAGTGGGAAACCACCAGATTCCAACCTAACCCAGTGGCTGTCAAACAATTTGAACCCGGCGGGCACCTTAGAACTTGGGATCTTCAACTTGCAAAATGTTTAGCCTTGGTTGCAAGTGGCACGGGTTGGCTGAAACGCGGTGGTTGCAACCTATATGCTGACTCGCTTGAACATCCAAGAAATGCTAACCCTGGATTGATGAATGAGTCCCTGGTTGATACATATGGGGGGGTGTCCCCTTTTAGTGAGGGTGCATCATTTTTGGAGGAAACACTTCCCGTTGGTAGGATTTGTTGTTTAATCCGAGGTTAACATTACTTCCTTGCCCAAGGCAAATCGACCTTCTGACTTTTTGGTTGCCCTGATTTGGTCCATCCCAGATGCCCACCTTTGATTTCCAAGGTTCGGGCCAGTGGGGCTTGGGCACCTTTGTTTTAAGAGCCTAGCGAGAGGCTCTTTCCAGCTTCCCGGTAATTGGTGGTTAAGGAGGGGTTTCCCATGTACAAGAACCGGGGGTTCAACTCCCAAACCACCAATCCAAACCAGCAACTGAGCCATAATCAAATCTCGGGTAGATGAAGCCAGCCATAAAAAGCTTCGGCCGCCTTCTTAATTCTTTACATGGTTGTGGGTTCACCATTTTAATACCGGGTTTTTGATTGTGGCTCAACTAAGGGTTACCTGATCCTTTGTCCCTAGGATCTCCTTCAGGGCCTTTTGCAAGACTTCGGCAAGGGCTTGCTCGGCGGTCCAGCTGCTGGCGGTTTCGGGCCGGGGTCCTCCGTGAACTTCCAGACGGAGGCGAATTTGGGAAGTCGGAGTGTATTCGGACTGTGTGTTGGTCTTTTTTCTGAGGTACCTGGAGTCTCCATGACCCTTAAAAAATGGGGTCATTACCCGAAAGAAAGGGGTCATGACCCCATTTTAAAGGGTCGTGGAGACTGAGTACCCTGGTTGCGGTTGTTTTAAACGGAAGCAAAAGGATTTGCGCTTCGACAACTGGTTCTGAGATGGTTTGGAACTACTCTAAATGGTGAACCTTGGCTATAAGCTATAAGTGCTCCGCCATTTGCTGCAAAGAAAGCCCCAGACCACCTCAGTTTAGAGCTTGTCTGTCGTGAGCCTTTGTGTCCTGGCATCTGGCTGTTGTGCGTATCTGATTCGTTGGTTGTTCGTCACGTTTCTCGGCGCGTGGCGCGCTTCAGGTGCGCGAGAGTTGAGAAATCCCCACGTCCTCGCATCCCAACATGAGCCACAATCAAAACCCGGGTAAGTGAAGGTGAGTAAGGGACGATCGATCCCAGCCAGAAATCGCTGCCGCCGCCTTCTTAGTTCTTTACTAGGTGCCCCCAGTAATGCCATTTTTTACCCTTTTTGGGGGGAAGGTTCCCCTGGTAAAATAGACTGCAGAAAAGAATCGGGTACCCTTATTCAAACCTCTCAAATCTGGAGGACCTAGTTTACATGGTTCTGGGTCGACCATTGTACCGGGTTTTGTTTGTGACTCACATACCCCCGCCGCGGGCAGGTGAAGGACGGGCACTTCCGGCTGCGGGCGTCGCTGCCGGGGTACAGCCGGGGGCTTGAGAGCTGAGAGCTGAGAGTGCATTTTGCCAAGGCATGTTGGGACTTTAAAACTTTTGGTGCATTTTGCTTGGCTGTTAGGACTTTAACTTTTTGCCAACTAATGGGTTTTCCACTAAACCACTAAAAGTTAAACTTTTAGCAGGGGAGCAGAAAGCAACCGAGATAAAACTTTTTACCAACCGACTACTGGGGTTTCCGTATTAAACCACCAACAGTTAAACACTTTTAGCAGGGGAGCAGAAAGCAACCGAGTTTGGCCAGCGCCAATTTTCTCTTGCGATCAGTGCCAGAGATGCGAAGGGAACGAGAAATGGCTCATGACCCCGAACAAGAAAAAAAGAAGAAAAAACAACACATCCAGTTGGTGTCCTTTAAAAGAATCCCCAGGTTCATTCCCAAGATTCCCTACCTATCGCACGGTGGTTTGACCCGGGAGCCAAGCACGACGAGCCACATTTGTTGGGGGGCGTTCCCTGTGTTTGACGCGTCCCACTTTGGGAGGAAGCGCCGTGAATCCGCCGGGTGTGTTGCTTCACATCTTGGGCTTGTCGCAAAAGAAGAAAGACAAAGAAGCGTTGGACCCTTTCACAGTGGTTTCCTTGGACTTTTAGTCATACCCGGAAAAGAAATTGAAACCAGCTCCCAGTTCAGTGGATACCTCAAACTCCTGGATGGGCAAAAGGCATCGGTCGGCTTGGAGTGAGCCGAGGCATGCACAGGAGCAGCGACGGCGAAGAGCCACTGGATGTCCAGGCCGCGATTGTGATGTTCTTGTTGGCAAGTGCTTTTTTAGCAAAAAACTCGTATGTTGATCCGGTATTTTTTTCTTCCTAGGGCTTTTCTTTTTTAAACTAGGGCTGGTAGGTATTGTGGTTGGTGGTTTGGTTGGTTGGTTTGCTTGTGTATGTTGTTGCTTTTGTTGCTTCTGTCCATTTTAGTGGGGGGCTACACAGTTGTTTTTGTGTGCTACCAAGGGTGGTAAAGTACCCACCAACAAATGACATTTTGATCAGGGAACCCGTACAAAGTGGCCCATAGAAATGGCGGGTTTTGCTGTTTCCATGTTAAACTGCGGGGGAGTATGGGAATCCCCACCCAAAAAACAAGCAGACAACATGCTGCATGCAACTTGCTTCTAGGGGAATCCTTTTTGGGTTTCTGAGCATTTTAGGGAGTTAAGCAAAGCCAACCTGAAAACACGGTCCCTTAACGGCCACATTTTGGCCAGTTGAAGAACTGCATGCAGTTAATCTGGAGGATCCATTTGAAAAGTGGGTTTTGGATGTATCCAAAGGGGAAAGTTGGACAAAGCAGCAACTTCACGCAGGTGGCGGGGCGCACACTGGTGGTGCAGGGCTCAAAAAGCAACGGGAACATGATGACCAGCTTCCAGCGATCTTTCCGCCTACCTTGGGACCCGGACAAGGACCACGTCTCAGTGACCTACAGCGCCCAGGACCGGTTTTCCTTGACGGCTATTGGGTTGGATCTTTAAACTTTGACGTTTTCGTTGAAATGAAGGGGTTTTCCACTTAAACCCCCAAAAAGTCAACCTTTTTGCAGGGGGGTCAACAGCAACCAAGTTTCAGCGCTCCAAATATGGACCTTCATCAAATTCAAAGGGTGGCGCGGGTCCTGTCAGAGGCAGAAAATTGGGTTGGCTCAAGCCCTCGATTTGGCTGCTGGTGCGCAGTAGGGAAGGAGGGATTGAACCCAGAGGTCCCCTTGAAGGAAACCGTGAGGTATGGTGAATAGGGGTCATTCCATTTCTCATTCCCTTTCTATCGCACCGCGTGTTTAAGTGTTTCACGTGCAAGGCACCCGCCCACCCTTTTCACATCAAACCTGACGTTCGGGAAATGGTCCCTATAAAAGGAGAATGCTGTTTCAGAAGCCCCCGAACGTCAGGTTCCATGTTAATTGGTGGGAGGGTACTTTTGACCATTTGCACTTGATTGAATCGCATGTAGCTTCGAGAGCATCTTGGGGGTTTTCGATTTTTGGGCGGTTGCCCCAGATGTGAAAAGTGATATCGGCTAAGAACTGGCTGAGCTATGTGGAAAAAGCTCAGCAATCATTCGGAGCGGCGCGTGACGCAGAATACTGGACCCTCAAGAAAGCCAAGGATCAGCCTTTAGCAGGGCCTTATTCAGGGGAAAATAAAGCCATTCATGGCCCCCTCCCCATGGCCCCCCTCCAGGGTGCATGACAGAAGGCCCCGTTTTAGAGGACCATCTTCCAGGTATGTCCGCAGGTTCAACCCGTGCCAGACTTCCCTGCTTCGAGAAGTAACTCCAAATTCCGTGCTCCCCGTGAAGAGTACGTAACATCTTCAATGTGTGGATCAATCCTGACAAATATATGGTTCGCTTAAAATCAAATCTTAATCCTTTTGCCAGATAGTAGTGGCTTCCTTTGTTGTAGTGTCCCACTACGGATCAGGGATTGGGGTGATCCCACCCCGATTCCCCATTTGTCGAAATGTTTCAACCACATTGTTTCAATCAGGTAACCACCAATGTGTGGTTTGGATTGGTGGTTTTGGGATTTTCACCCCTGGCTTTTGTAGAGGGTAAATGGGAAACCACTCCCTAGCCACCACCAATCCAAACCCCAAGTGGCGGGAAGCTGAGTAAAGCCGAAAGCTTAAAAACGGATGCTTTTGGCTTCTCTTTCAAGCCAACCAGGGCCGCATGAAAGCAAAACTCAACCCCGGATGTATAAGGAGAGTGCATCCATTCAATCCAGTTCCCGGCAAGTGGACTTCCCAACGCCCGTGGGGTTCCCGGGCTCGCCAGGATGGCTCCCTCTTGGTGGACGTCCCTCGCGGCGCATCTTCTTCCGCTTCCGACGCGGCGGATTCCGACTCCGGAGCCGCCGCGGCTCTTCCAGGCAGGGTTCCGTTTTGTGACAACCCCCAAGTCGACTTAAACCCAGGGGTTGATTTCCCCAAAAGAGAGACCCTGGGTTTAAGTCTACCTTGGGGTAGTCAAAAATCTGAACCCTGCTTCAGGTGAATTCTTGGAGCCCTTGAGCATCCTAGCGGGCCCGCAGATGACGCTCTCCTTCTCGGACCCGGGGCCCGGGGGGGGCCAGGGGGCCCGGGGCCGTTCTTGTTCCCTCGGCCCGGTGAGGAGTCCAGCCCTCGAGGTTGCTTGGTGCTTGTCCTTTCTACCCCTTCAAAAACCTGGTGTTCCACGGTAAATACCTCCTTTTTTAGTAGAGGGTCGACATCATACCCCCAAAAACCGGGTATTTGGAGTAGGGGGGTGTCCTTTCTATGAATTCTAGGGGTTGATTCCCCATTGTGTTCAGCCATCGTTCTTTGCAAAACACCGATCGCCAGTTCCCCAGGGTTTTGGTGGATTTCTAGAAAGAAGGATCCCTGAAAAGAATGGGGAAGCTACCCCATAGAAGAATGATCAACACACGAAAGAGTGCTCTTGTTCTACCAGGAGCACTTCCCCGACTCGGGGAGTGTTTCGCTCGTTTTTGTTTCTATTGGTTTGGTATTGATGGTGTTTGTTGTGTTTTGCACGTGCGTGTTTGATCTTGCTTTGAGCTAGTGTCTTGTTTTCGCCGGCCTGCCAGTTGTGTTTTGTCATGGCTGGCTCAAAGAGATCTGTATTCCGTCTACTGTCCTGAGCTGTGCAAAGCCAACCGGTTGGCCTTTTCAAAATGACGAACAATCTCACTTACAGGCATATCGTGGACCACCCATTGCGGGGGGCGGGGGGGGGGGGGGACCTACGGAGTCTACAAATTTGAAAACCCCCTAAGTTGGAAGTTCTCAAGTTTATCTCACATTGCCAAAGCTTTTGTGGCTGCATGTGGTTGACGTGCTTTGCATTTCGTTTGGCTCTACCACAGGCAGGGCAGGACATGTGCTTTGCGCAAGCAGCCCAGGGGGCAGGGTGCTTTGTAGGTGTAGTGTAAGTGTTCGGGAATCAACATTCTACTGGCCACGTGGTGTCACCAGGATGAAAGTCACCCCCGCCCGTTGAGTGGTCTGTTAATACTGTTAAGAGGGAACCAACACTCTGACCCCAATTCCACCCCCCACACTCACACGGTGACTTACCACGGCTTTGGGATACAAACCGACGTTCGGGGTCGCCTTAGCCTGAACGTTGGGTCCGGAAGACGAAATCTGCTGAGGGGTGGTTCCTCTAACAAAATCATTTGGGTATGGGTCAAAATGAAGCCGCCAGAAGATCGCAGCTTTAATCCTTGATCCTTGTTCCTATTTCCAGGATTCCATGTTCCAGGGTGCCAGTTTCTAAGGTTCCATTTTGGGATTTTGGGATACTAACTTTTGACTCCCACCCATTTGTTTAAGCGGCTTTCTCTGACAATTCGGAGTCCAAGGTTGATGTAAGAACACGGGGCCTAGCTGAGCCTTCTCACCAGGATATGGATGCGAAGCTGGCCCCTCGCCGCCGGCCGCTGCGGGGCCTGCCTATTGTCATGGGCCTGCGGCCGACGGTCCGGGACCCCTTCGAGCAGCTGTGGAACGGGCTCCTCGCAGGTCGGGGGTCTTGTCGATCGCTCGGAATCAATCCGGAGGCGTCATATGGGTTTGGGTCCAAACAAAACCAAAAAACAAAAAAAAGTATATGGACCGCAGGTGAAGTTGTCCATGTTTCCATTTGCCAGGATTCCATTTTGGGTACCTTTTTTTGACCCACACCCCTATTAACCTTCCATTTGCTTAAGAATATGTGTTTCTTTTTTATGATTTGTCCTGTTGGTGTTGAAGGGGATGCATCATCGCTGGCAATATATTCTTGTATTTTTCCAAGGAGCTTATGCAAATGGAAGTAGCAAAAAGCTACAGATGAGCTGCATGATTGCTCGGATTAAATATGCTAAAGCATCAATCAATACCAACAATGGCCTTAACATTACTGGAGCATACCGATCCACTTGTCCAAAGCGAATCGACCTAACCTTCAGTTTCCCTGATGTTTCTTTCCCGGTCCAAAGGGGACAAGTGAGACTCAGCAGTGGCTCCCTATGAGTAGTAGGGTGCGGGTTAATCCAAAGTCATTGGATAAGATTCAAAATGCGTGCTTCTCAGAAACATTAGCTGCTAGCCCGCAGACAGGCACCAAGAAGCCTGACAAGAGGGTTCTGAGAACTCGGGGTGGCTTAGGTTTGTCTCCAATGACACAGAACACAGGATTTTCGCGCCCCTACCTAGCGAACCGGGGTGGGGTGTCTCAGTTTGGGCTAATTGGTTTACAGTCCCTGGAAGCATTGGGGAATACCCCGCTCCGCGGAGCTTCATTTTGAGGGTTGGTGTGTGAGTCGGAATATGTAGGAAGACGATTCACTCATAGCAAGTTGAATGGTTTGCAGATATTATGGAGTTGTGGCTGTTTAGCTTTACATACCCCTTGAGCCCCGAAAGGCGAACTTTATCCCCAGGGGTGTGGTACTTAAGGCTGGACGAATTAGGGTTCATTGAGACGGCCCCTTCGACATTTGCTAGACAGAGGAAGCGAGGCTAGGTGTTGTGCCCCTGATAATACGGTGTGCAGCAGCTGCGCACTTGCGGGCGTGAGCGGCGAATGTGTGGAGGGGTTGCGAATGCTGGGCAGTCTCTTGCTTATGCCATGGGTTTTGGCTGCGGCTTCCATTTCCAGGCAAACAGGTGTGCAAAGGGGTGAAACGGAATTAATGAAATATCACGAGCTGACCTGTCTGGGGTGAAGCAAGCTCACTCATGAGTAAGGCTATTTTACGCGGGTTCCCTAAGCTTGGGCATGGCAAGATATGGGTGTGTCTTTCTTTAGGGGACCCTTCCCAAATGGTGGTTTTGTTTTCCTTTCCCTTGCCCCCCAAAAAACAGGTCCCCAAAAAGAAGACACCCACATGTCACATTGCTTTTCCTTGCCCCAATCAGACGTGTGATGGTCCTACCAGAGACTCGGCCCAATCACATCCCCAGTTCCAGCCTGTGCCTATTCAGATCCTGTTTTGGCAAGTTATAGCGCCTTCAGTTGCCAGGTGTTTGGGAGCTACTTTCACGGGAAATTATCTGCGTTTTGGTCAGTGGCCAGTGGTGATTCGGCCAAAGTCTTAGGGTGCCGGTAGCAGGATGCACCTAAACATCACCCATCGCTGAAAGCCCTTGGAACTCCTGGTGTTTGGGCGGTTTTTAGTTTGGCCAAAGCGTAACCTTCTGCCTTGGCGCCTGGGGAGCCAAAAGGAACACAACCATTTTGAGGGGGGCCCCCTGAACCAAAAGACGCCCTTGTGCTCGGTCCCCTGAACCAAAAGACGCCCTTGTGTCGGTTGCCACTTGGCAGATGCGAGTGGCATGCACGACGTGGCCGTGCCAGAAGCGGACCCCGACAGGAAGCACAGCATGCACAGCAAGTCGCAGCCGGAGCTTCGGCATCATTTTTGAGGCCCCAAAAAGGTGAAAGGCCCGCATATTTAGGGTCCAAGGGGCTCCTAGGGTAACTTCGTGGTTTTGGAGGATCCATTGTGCAGATGTTTTTTTTTGTTTTTTTGAGGGCAAAGAAAAAGGAAGAGACACACCCAGATAAACCGTGGCTGAAACCGGGGTATCCATCTCACTTTGAGTAGTTGGGCCCAGCACCGGTTCTCCAAACCATGGGACCCTTATGGGTAATTTGATCCCAAGAGATGCCTCAGATTCAGAAGAAACATCCATCCAACATGGACGTCAAAGCCTTACAGTTGGCATTGTGTCTATTTCGTGTTGGTTTCATCCACTTCACTTACCCATCTACCCTCCCACCCTTTTCACATGGGACCTGACAGTCGGGGGGTCCTGGCTTGGGCCATTTTCCTTTTGAAGCTGACGATTTCCCGAACGTCAGGTCCCATGTGTTACGTGGTGGGACGGTCCTGCAAGGGGCAGGCTACTTAGTGGTTATCAAGCCTGGACATAGCCCACTTTGGAGACCTATAACCATTTTAAGTTGGTTATAACCATGGTGAGAACCCACTTGCTGCTTGGATGTTCGTGGTTGGCCACCTGGGTTACTATTCACCAACAACGGGGTTGACTCCACTCCCAGAAACTCATAAGTGGGTTACAACCTTGGTTAAAAATAGGTTTCTAGCTTTGCCGAACACCCAAGTAGGTACCCTGATCCTTTGAGCACTTGATCTACCAACTCACCCCTGGATCAAAGCTACTTTTCATATCCCGCTTTGCTTCTTTCGGGACCTTGAGGTCCAGAAACGGACATAGCGGGCTTTTGTCGCCAGGGATGGAAGCTGTCGCGTTCTGAACGGGTACTGGAAGTCATGGGTTGGACCCCTGCTTCACTAGAGCCCTTCCGACAATCCACATCATCTCTTCTTTCCTCCCTAGTTGGAGATCGGAGTTTCCAGTCATTTTCAGATTCTTGTCCATTCGCACCCCCAGAATTGCCGGAGGGTGCCGCGCCTGCCAACTGCCCAGCACATCTCCAGTTTTGGTCCATTTCAGGCTTCCGCAAGGGGGTGTGTTTCCCTGGAAGTGTGAGATGGTTGTGGGTGAGAAATATGTAGCCAAAATGAAGCCCTGGCAAATGGAAACATGGACTAAAATATGCGATCCCCTGGTGGCTTAATTTTGACCCATACCCAAATGAACAGTTGTTACTTTCCCGTTGTTGGTTTTAAAGGGGATCGGTTTCACGACTGGAATTGGGATTTGCCCATGTTTCCGGGAAAGAGCACATGGAAGGTCCAGCCGAAGATCAGGTGGTGGTCCAGCCCAAGAAATCCGCGGCGCCCTTCTGGCGCTTCACCACTGGCCCGGAGTCAAGAGCTCGATACCTCGATATCGCGGCGGCCTCAATCGGATCGCGGGGCTGCGGAAAAAACGCTACGTTGCTTGACTGCTAAAGGGTTCCCCAAAATGGTCTTCCCCAAAAAGGGTTCCCTTTTTTCCAGGGTCACTGAACAACTGAGGGTTGGATCGTTAGACTTTAACTTTTTGGCTGAAATCTAGTTGGGTTTTCCGAACTAAACCCCCCAAAAGTGAGAAACTTTTTGCAGGGGGGTCAACAGCAACCAAAAAGCTGAAGGGGTGCACGGGACGAGCACCAGGTGACAAGAGTCGCGTGCCCTGGTAAAGTGATAGGAATGCCAGCGTCATTTTGCCAAGGCGTCAGAAGAGGTGGCGGAAATGGGGGGTAGCCTATGGCATTTGTTGAAATTTTTCGTCCTGGGCGAAACGGCTCTAGGCCCCGTTGAGGGGCCATTTGTCTAACGACAAAATCTGATCCAAGCACAAGTGTAGGTAATGTGTTTGGCTCCTTGGGGTTTCCTTGTGCCAGATCGAACACAATCTACCGTGCCGGTGGGGTCGAATGAGAGCAAGCCTGCCTGCCGGCAACACGTTCTTGCGTTGCAGTCATGCCCTTTGGCAGTGCAGAATGCGATTGCCCCACTCACAAGCAAGAGCAATCCATCCACGAGATCTCCAGGACCATGTTTAGCTTCCTTCAAGTTCGCACCTGATTCGGCCAAAAGAGGCCAAGGCGGCTGATCGCATAAGTGCTGCACATGGTTGGGAAAGAGCAGCCTTGGATGTTTGGCCCCAAGCCAGTGTCAAAACCAGCATGCATTCTGCATAGTGCCCCTGCAACACGAGAATACCCGTGGTTTAATTATTTTTAGCTTTCTTTTGAAGCGGTGAAGCCAAACACCATTCCTGGGTGAAACGAGAGGACGATGATCCCACCCGGGTTCCTCAAAGGATTTGTCCAAAAAAAAGGTAAGTGTCAAAATAGGGGGACCCCCAAAATTCAACCAGGAATCAGGGTTCCCGACCGAATTCATTCAACCACTGCCTGCTTGACAAGGATTTGGATCCTATATCAGCTGGTAAATGTGATTCTAGCTGGCCCAGACGTATCCATTAAGGGACCCTGTCCATCCCTACGACCAGTTTACTGTGCATGGACAAAGCCCACTGCGCCAGTTGGGATGAATGGCACACGACCTGAATACTGGGATCCGCCTGCCAACTGGTGTGAAGTGGATTGTCTCCATCCACAGTATCATCAGCCATCGGTTTTATGGTTTTTAGCGCTGAGTCACTAAAACTTAAGCTTTTTGCATGGGACCTAAGGACAGTCACCACGTTCTCTCGCAAAAAGCACGTGCGAGGTCAGCCCTCAAGGGGTGGAGATGGGCAAGATCCGAGGCGCACACCGAGGTTTGCGACGGTTTTGGCATAGGGAAGCTTCCTCTTGGTGGCTCCCAGGCATTCGATTTCTTAGCTTTTTAGATCCTTCTAGTGTTTCGTGATTGGATTTCCATTTCAGAAAGCGGACCGCCCAGTCTTGTTGCTTCAAAGTTGCCTTTCCTCGGAAGGGGGGGGGCATGTCAAAAAGGGGTTCAACCACCAGCAAGATGGACCCTGAATCAGGGCTCGCTCGCAAAGAGTGGGCAGAGGATTCCAACACACGGCACCCTCCCCGAGATCCTATGCCCGAAGCCCCGTCATGTTCACAAGGGCCCCGTCATCCTCTTCCACTCAGAACATGGAACCTCACTAAGGCCCTGAACGACAATGGTTCCTCTAAACGTGACCCTTTGCGTTCCACATAAGTGGACAGGATTGGACAGGGTATTGTCCCACATATTAGCAAGTTGCACGCCATCTACACCCTAGCCTGTTTCCAGTTTACACCTCACGCCTCCCATTCCAAGAAATGGTTCGCAAGCACATTTGTTGGTCTTGGCTACTGAGTGTTCTTTGGGACGGCCGACGTGTGACCCTGCCCGCCTATTTGTCTGACTTAGCAGAATTAAGCAACTTCTATCAAAAGTAACCCGATTACAGAACTCTCTTGTACTAGTACTAGGCTTGCTATTTCCCCTAGCTGGCTGCAATGGAGCTAGTCATCACTGGCAATGGCACATGTGTGTTTTGCAGTTGGCACCTCAAATGGAAGATCAAGAGAATCCCACCGAAGCCTTGAACAGTTTTCGAGTTGCGTCTCGTTTGGGGGAACAATTGGGTAACCCCCTGGTTGTTTGGCTTGATGGTGGGGTTTACCCTGGTTCTAGACATGGGTGAAACTCACCCGGGAACACCTCCTCAGCGTGTTTGCGTGTGGGTGTATGTGTGTGTATATAAGGACGCATGTAGGCATTGTGGTGTTTTGCATGGACCATTGAAATGTTGAATGGGTCGCGTCGATCGCAAGGCTCCTACGTCGAGTTTTTCAACAAGGGCGAAGGCGGCGGCGCGTATGGGGGCTGCGGGTTTGTGGGTCTGGAGCCATGTGAAACATGCGGTGTACCAAGATCATAGGATTGCTGTGGATTCTCCATTGCAGCATACGGTTGACGGTCAGGGCCGGGTTTTCTGACAGACAGAGAGACAGCACACAGACACAGACACAGACACAGACAAACAGACACAGACAGACAGGCAGACAGACACCGACAGACAGACAGACACAGACAGGCAGACAGACAGACACCGACAGACAGACAGACACAGACAGACACAGACAGGCAGACAGACAGAGACGGACACAAACAGACAGAACTACATACGTACGTACATACATACATACATACATACACACATACACACATACACACATACACACATACACACATACACTTCCATGTGCTTACGACTATTGGTTTGTTTTCCCCGTTGGTTTTAAAGGGAATCTATCACTACTCGAAATATTTTTCCAGGGGTCTTGATCAAATGGAGATACATACATACCTACATACATGAATGCATGCATGCATACATAAATACATACATACGTACTTAGGCATACATACGTACATACATACACCCATACATTCATACATTCATACATACATACATGCATGCATACACACATACATTGCATACATTGCATACATTGCATACATTGCATACATACATACATACATACATACATACATGCACATACATACATACATACATACATACATACATACATACATACATTACATTACATTACATTACATTACATTACATACATTACATACATACATACATACATACATACATACATACATACATACATACATACATACATACATACATACATACATACATACATACATACATACATACATACATACATACATACATACATACATACATACATACATACATACATACATACATACATACATACATACATACATACATACATACATACATACATACATTATATACATTATATACATTATATACATTATATACATTATATACATTATATACATTATATACATTATATACGTTGCATGCATACATACATACATTCATACATGCATGCATACATGCATACATGCATACATGCATACATACATGCATACATACATACATGCATGCAAAGTGCACCTATGTGCATACCTGTGTATGCATGTCCATACATGTGCATGAATGCATGCATGTGCATGAAAGCACGCATGCGTCATGCAACCATGTATGAACAAGCCTGATCTGCAGAAGTACCTGGAGTCTGCATGGCCCGTCAAAAATGGCGTCAGTATCCCAAAGAAAGGGGGCATGATCCCATGCTTGAGGAGTCGGCAGGAGACTCCAGGAGTTTTCCTCTAGGGGGTGTTTCCTTTTCCATTCTTTTCAACCATCGTTCTTCTCGAAAACCAGCCGTGGTTTGCGCCTTTGGCTTCAGGTGAGCGAGCCTGCCTATGTCAAAGAAGCCTTTCATGCCAGGGATTCCGTTAGAAAATCATCCGAATCCACCGGTAATCCAAGGATCCCAATAAACAAAAATGCACATTCAGTATCTCGTCGCTCCCTGTTGCTCCAGGTCAGGTTTGTCCCCGTCATTCATCGAACATTGCTGTGAAGTTCCCCTCTGCACGGAACCGGCGACAAGAGTCTTTGGTGCCTTTTGCTTGGATGTTAGGACTTCGACTCTTTGCCACCCACTGGGTTTCCCATGAAACCACTAAAAGTTAGTCACATCTCGCAGGGCTTCGCAGATTTCGCCACCGAGATGTGTCGTAGCCAGTCAGCCCGTTCCACCAGGCCAGGAGAGCCCCAAGAGGCTGGAGCTGCCCATCTCCGTGCGCGAGGAGGAGCCGAGTGTGGGCATCGGCTTGGCTGAGCCAGAAGCTCACCAAAGCCATGGTCGAAGCGACCTTAGTCTAAGCTGCTGGTTTCCCTGATTTGGTCCATAGGTTTCACAAGGTTCACGTTTTACTTGCGGGGGCTTGGGCATGTGAGGAAGGGGACCCTGCCTTTGGTCCAGCCATCATGGAAGCAGAAGTTTGGGGCCCTCCCAATAGGATTGCAGTCTCTCAACACCTTCCTGGCCGCTTGCCTGATTGTTGGAAACACCCCATCAGGAACTGTGTCGGAGGTGTTGCGAAACAGGCTCTAGGGACGCTCCATAAGAATTTACCATGTTGATGCATCCTTTTTTGCTCCTGGTTTCACTTCTTGCTGCCGAATGCGTCCAAGCATCTGATTTATCCTTACGTTCCGTTGCCAACAAGGTTAGTCCACAAGAACTTCTTCCCGGAGCCGAAGGGGCGACCATGTCAACCAGAATTCCCGGTGGCTCCGGAAGACTCTATTTCAGGGTGGGGCGGGCCTGCGTGTGTTGCAAACTGGGCATGTCCGCTTTACCACAGGAATCCAATTCAAAGCGACTCAGGCCAAGCCTGAATTCTCGCACTACGGTTGGCCTGCCAAGTGATGAAAAGTAGTTATGGGGCGTGACCCTGGTTGGTTCTGGGTCCATTCAGTGACACCCTCAAAATCTTTCCCGTTTTGTGGCAGTCGAAAATACAACCCGCCCCAAAAGCAAGGTTCACTTTAAGGCACCAAGAGGGTACTGCGGATGGATATCCTGCACCACCTAGGAAAGCCTGGCATGATCCGATTGCACTGTAAATGCCAACAAACCTTATGGTTTCATTCCCATGGTTTCAAACTGATGCGAACAATTTTGGTGAACCCGGTGTCACAAAAAGTGTCATTCCCCCCCCCCCCCACCTGGCTGTGGCCCGGGGCCCCGCCAGCCTCGGGTCGGGTCTGGCGAGGACTGCCGGCAGACGCACATGGGCTCCCAAGAGCACGTGCTCCGCTGCGCGACGAAGGACTCGGTGAAGAGCCTCCACATCGATGTCATCGACGAGCTCTGAGGCAACTGGAGAGGTGAGAAGAAGATGGCACCCTGGTTCTTCTTGCTTTTTGTTGTCAGGTGGCTTGGCCAAAAAAGAAGACCTTTCTGAGCCCGTTGCCTCTTGAAGCAGGTGTTGGTTTACATTTGGAAGTGGCTTGCTTTCTGAAATGCTCCGCCAGGGCCACTGGATGTGCAACATGACTCCATGACCGCAGGAGAAAAACGAGGTGGGGAGCCTCCCAAGGCTTAGAGTCACCGCATGACCTCGCGTCGCAACATGCTAAAACAAGAAGTTTCTGGAGTTCTGGGGCAATTGACTTGGAGGCCAGTTGTGGCCCACTGACTACCAGGGGCTTCCTGTCATGTCCAAATAGCCCATGTTGATATATCTCTCTTCACCCTCAAAAACTGAATGATCCTGAAATTGGATTTTGCTGTGATTCATCCTGGTTTCCCACTACTTGCGATATTGAGTGAACCAGCCACGGGCATCAGCAGACAGCGGGATCACCATTCCTCTCACTCTCCGGCGACCAGTAACCCTCCCGCAAGTGTCAACCCTGCCGGGGTTGGCCAGCCCGCGAGCAAAGACGCCGCACAGCTCTTCTCACCATTTCACCTTAATCGATTTCTTACGCGCATGCGAGCATATGCAAGCTCGCTTGCCCAGCTGTGCCTGAGGAAATTGTACCAGTTATGGCCATGAATTTTGATGGGGCACCTCCAGACATTCAGGTCCACCAAAGAGCTTCCTTTGAAAGCACCAGTGATTTTGGTGTAGCAGAACCCTTGGATAGGGCTTCCTTTTGCCGCCCAGCACAGATGCGCGGAGCAGCACTTGCTTGGATCTAGACCCAAACTGCACCAGGTGCAAACAACTTGTAGCCACACTCAAACTACACCAGAGGTGCAAGCCAAAGCTGGGAAACCAGAAAAAATGCTTCTTCTTTTTCCGCTGGAGTTGCAAACCATCACGTGAAAGTAGCTGGCACTTGTTGTTTTTTTGCATAGCTGACTAGGGTGATAAAACCTGAAGACGGTGCCGTCCCAGCCCTCCCAGACCGTCTGAGTTCCGAGCTCGGATGCTCCGGATGCCGTTGGACAGATCCAAGGAACGGAGCAAAAGACCTTCCGCGGCTTTCGGGAAGCGAAAACAGGTTGCTTCTAGGTCCCCCAGTAGTGCCCTTTTGCCCTGTTTTGGGGGGAGGATTCCCCTACTAAAATAGACTACATAAACAAAGTTGGTACTCTTATTCTAACCTCTCCACTGGAGTAGCTAGGCAAGGCTTGGTGCCCAGCCATCCCCTGAGGTTGGTCTTTTAGCTGGTTTAGTGGGAGTTTCCATGGGTTTCCATAAAGCGATTGAAATTGAACTTTTAGCAGGGGATCTGAGGACAGCCCAGGTTGGGTCTGCTTTTAATGCCAATACATTTCAGGCCGTGTCCTTTCGATGGCTTCAGAGAAAACAAGAATCGTGCCTTCGGCTGCCATGCAATCCCTTCAAGGCCCATTCGTGATCTCTGCTGGTGGTCTATTCCAAGGTAACGAAGAGAATTTGCAAGCAAAGTTGCTGCATTCCAACAAAAGAAAGCTGCTTGTATCGCCCACGTCTTGAAATTTGCCGAAGAAAACACCCATTAGCAAAGCCTTATCCAGAAGGGTGCTTCATGCGAGATCCTATGGTCGTTGTGTAGCAAGTTTAAAGACATTCGCTTAGTCACTGGTTTGGTAGTTAGCTAAATTGGTGGCCAGCCTGGTTATGACACACTTGTCATGGCGAATCCCCCCTTTGCCAGGGTCAGTTTGGCCAAGTGCCAGATCATCTCAGTAGCTAATGTCTTGGATCCAAGGTTGAGCTGGGGTAAAGATATGGCTGTGGGTCAACACCAATGGTACCATTTTGGGGTAGGTGAATTCACCACCCATGTTGGTCTATTTTTTAGTGAGGATTGGGATGGTCACTGGGGGATAACCGATTGGGATTTTGACCCATGGCCATATATCATGGTGATGGGTGGTCTGAGACTTGGCCTGCGACCTCAGCCCAACTGACCTCACCGCTACCCTGTCCGGTTTCTTTAGACTCCTTGCAAGGAACGAAGGGTTCTGCTTGGCAACTGCTGCGTGCAGCGCACGCTTGAAAGCGTCGAGCCTAAAGTCCTATACTCAGTGGTTCAGTGGTACCCTTTTTCATTTCGTTTCTTTCCGTTTTTTAGGGGGGGGGGGGGGTGGCTGCCCCACTCAACATGGTCTTCCCAAAAAATGGTTCCCTTTTTTTTATCCAGGGTCACTGAACAACTGAGTATTAGTATAGAGTTGGATTTTTTGTCCGGATTTGGCTCAGTCAAAACACTTGCTTAGGCCAGGCGGGGCTATGGCCCCGCCAAGCAAGGAGCAAGTGCCATGAAGAGGAGACCAACCCCCTGATTCTTTGCTTGCCTTTTTTGCCGGCAAGCAACGCAGATGAAGCCAAAAAGAAGGGAGAGCCGAGCTATCTGCCTGGGACTTGGAACCCGCCTGCTAAACAGCGCCTAAATTCATTTGCATTTTTTCCCAGAAGGAATCCAAAAGAAGATAGGTACTCGCTTTAATTTGTCCAGACGGCAGTGCCTGTCTCGTGTTGGGTCATCCTCCCCGTTTTTGTTTCCGCTTGTAGCGCTTGGCTCTCCATGGGGAAGACGACCAGCGGAGGTCGACATCTCTCGCAGCTTCGAAATTTGGTCCGCGCTTTGCCCACTTGTGGCTTCAAAAGCAGCATGTCAAGGGGAAAGGAACTCCATCCTTTTCCTTGGCTTCGGAAGCCACTTGAAAGCGTTCCGAGTCAACCATCTCAGATCCAAATCCATCAGGCATGACTCAACCATCTTCCTCTCTCGCGTTGCGAGTTGCAATCCATGAGGCCTAAGGCTGTGCTGTTCAAAGGCAAAGTGGAATATCCTTACCTTGGGCGCCAGGATTTTTTGCAGGTGGCAAGGCCAAGCCTCCATGTACAGCTCTGCCCATTGTTTGCCCCTCGGGTCGCCCGGGCTTCATGGCGCTGGCCTTTGGCCCCCCAAACGCCGAGCCCCGCTTCCGCGGCCTGCGCGGCGGCGGCGGAGTGGGTGCGCGGGGTTTGTTCCGCGACCCCGAGGCGGGGGGTGAATTCCATGAAAAGGGCCAGGGATTTGGGTTCCGTTTCTGGGTGGCTTCCCTTCCTACCTGGGAGTTGATGGCGAAATTCTTGGGCCATGGCCAGTCCGGGACTCCCGCACCCGAGGCCATGAACTGTCAGCTTTGCCATGGCGGGACTCTGTTAGACCTTGGGCCCTATTAGGCGTTTGGGGCCTGACATTGATTGTCTTTTGTTGGTTGGAGTGGAGCAAGTTTGTTGTCCTTGGCTCATAGGCTATGACATCATCCAGCACGGCTGCAAGGGGATTCCCACCACAACCAATTTCATCAACCACAGTCCTTGTAACCGTTTGACAGGCCAAGGGTTGCCTTGTTGGCCGCTTAGGTGAAGCTATAGTGGCCATATTTGCTTCGAAAGGGACGGGCGAACCTATTCACACTGCATGTCAGCGGGGACAGATGTTTGCCTGCCTTGGGGTGAGGCGAAGACACCCTCCTTTCAACACCTTCCCTTCACCCAAGCCTCCTACCATCATGGGGGCTGCGGGGGAGGGAGGGGGAGGGAGCCTGCGGGGGAGGGAGGGGGGGGGAGGCCCAAATAAGCCCTTATTATAATAAGGCCTTATTTGGGGCTTATTGGGGCTCCCCCCCCCCCCCCCCCCTCCCTCCCCCCCAGCCCCATGATAAGACCCCCCCCCCAAAACCAGGGGGATTATAGCGTTCTGAGCGCCTGGGTCGGGCGGCCCCAAGGTTTCTCCTTAGCTCCCGGCAGGTCGGCCACGGCGTCCTCGCCGCACGTGGCCATTTCTTCGCCGCCGTGTGGCTCACGGCTTCGGCGTGCCAAAGGAGCGCAAGCCACGAACGCAGACGTGGCAAGGTGCACCGGTTCAAACTTCTTCCATTTGAGCGGCGTCCGAAACCTCCGTGTATGTCATATCGACCTGTGCGTAAGCAAAAACTTTATGCACGCGTAAGGTGGCGTAAGCTGGTGGCGTAAGCAAAGCCTCCAAATGTGTCGCGTAAACAACAACTCCACGCGGTAAGGTGGCGTAAGCTGGTGGCGAAAGCACAATGATACGACATAGCAAATCATGACACGCATAGGACATGGCTCATTTCAGAATATTTTTGTATTTTCCCTTGTTGGTTTGAAAGGGAATCTATCACTGCTGGAAATATGTTTTTTTCCTGCCAGGGGGCTTAAGCAAATAGAAGACTTTGTTTGGCTTTGGGCATACTTATGTCCATGTATTTCAGTTTCCTTTATTGGCCGAAAACCACGGACCATCCGCAATGCAACTCTTTGAGGGTCCCTCCGCCCTGGGCGGAAAAACTTGCGCTTGATGCGCGATTTCTGGCGAGGAGATTTCGCCCCTCACAGGATGCGCGGCGCAGACATAGAATGGCATCTCGGCTTATGTGGTTTTGCTGCCTGATTTTATGGGGGTTAATCAATATATTGCTATAACACCCTTCATGCCAACCGTACCAACGTCAGTCGGTGTTGGGGGCGTCTCCATGGATTGGTTCCCCGCCCAGACTTTGTCAAGCTTTCAAATGTTTACCCTCTACCTGGAGTGCGCTATATGGACGGGATCCCATGAGTCGTGCAGGCGTTTGCCTTTCAGCCTTCCTCGTTTGTTTTTCAGCGATTGAGTTTCTAGCAGAAATCCGCCACTCCCTAAGTTCTGTTTCTGTAGCAGAAATCCTCCACTCCTTAAGTTCTGTTTCTGAAGCAGAAATCCTCCACTCCCTGAGTTCTTTGACGTTTGGTACCATCTTGAAAACTTTGCCGGTTGGCTAAAACAACAGTAGGATGGAGGGGGTGCAATCACTAGGCGAGTTGGGGTTCGGCGTTGACGAAGTAGCCATCTGGCGAACTCCCAAACCTCCCTTGAAACGAGCGCCACTTTTGGTAGGTACTCCCTGAAAGGCCCTCTTTGAAAGGAAACCTTGGTGTCGCCCACTGCTTGGCTCCCTTCCAACCACCAGCTGGAATAACAACCAACTGGCTGGGGCTTTTGCCGAGGGTACCCTTTCTGGGTTGGCGTTCGTGAAACCAAAGGGAACACCACCCAATGGTTTCCTTTAACGGCATCCAAATGTTTTTACTCATTGTTTGCAAGTACACGACTACTTTCCTTTATGCGTGGTTTCATCATGACTTGGGATGACAGCTGCCAAACTGCCAGAGGCTCCTCTTGGTTTTCCCCCGGGGTCTGGTGCCCCCGGTCAATTGAGCAGCTTATGAGGTGGACTCATTTCCTGAGTTACTGGACGCAAAGCTTTTTGGGAAGACCATTTCGGTGGCAGCGAAGCTTCTTGTTTGACCAATCCACTCGTTCGGAAGTGAGTGGAACTTCAGTTACCCCACCCCACCACACCCAGTTACCCGGATGTATTTCCGGGGGCCTTCGCCTTCCGCCCCCCCTCGCCCAGGCGGCTTCGGGCCCAGCCTTCGAGGCCTTCCTGTCTCGCGGGGGTTTTGACACCAAAAAGCGAGTTGTTTCTTGTGTTTTTCCCCAACAGCTGAAAGCAATGGGGTCTGAGCCCAGATAGGCTCTGGGTGTGCTGCTGTTGGGGATATTTTCTGCAGCTTATTTATTGTTGTCACCTCAACGTTGTGTTTGCTTCGGAGTTTTTGGTAAGGCGCCCCGAGGCTCGTTTTTTTTCTTCACCCTCGCAGTGCACGACTCGCGCATCGAGTTCCGAACGCATCGGTTTTGAGACTTTGGAAGGGGCACATCCAACCGCAGAGTTCCCTTTTTAGGTTCGGGGTAAGGTGCGTGTACACATGTCTGTATATGTGTGGACCTGATTTTGAATAATTTTGACACATGCCCAGGTAGCAGGGTTCCCTTTATTCCCCTTTTGGCTTGTTCCCCGTCACGTCATTTTTTTTTTGGTGGGGTTTGGTGATGTTGAAAAGGTGACTTGGGAGCCCTGAAGTCACGCCGACTCTCTCCCGTTTTTTGCTGCACCACAGGGGCATGGTATGGAAAACGCTGGGGGCCTTCGGGCCACCGCGAGACCAAGGGAACTCCCACGAGGATGGCCTGGTTGGGTTTGCGTTGGATTTGTTTTGTTTTCCCTGGAATGCAGGTTGAAAAAAGGTGGCATGCGTATCACAGACTCACTTCCATCCGTTTCTTTTTGGGTTTGGACGGTTCTGGTGAGCTTTGTTACGCAACTCAGGGCTCTTAATGTACGTAAGTTTCTAGTCACGGCCTTAACCGGTTTGCCTTTTGCTTCCTAGTCCTTTGGATAAGTGTAAGGAAGACTTTCGCGTTGTGGAGCTAGTCAATCAGGTCAGCCGATCATGTCGACCTGGATACGGGGGCGTGAGAAACGGACACAAAAAGCTATGTGCGGATGTACATTGCCGGGCTTTGATACTTTCGCTTGACCAAATAGAACAAAAAGACACACAATAAGTAAAGCAAAGAAAAAACACATCTTAAGACGAGCATATGACGACTAAGGATTAACCAGGTTTTGCCCAATTAAACACTTAACGAAAAAAGAGAAGCAAAACAAACTTGCATTCCCAACAAGTTTGGGATTTTATTCATTATTATTTTTGGGCCAAGCCACTCCAGAAGTAAGCTCAGAGGGGTAATTAATGCCCTGGCAGCCTGGCAGGTGCGGGACTTGGGCGACAAGGGCATGGGTGTAGTGGCCGCCCGGGACATCCGCAAGGGCGGCTCGGTGGATCGAGCTCGGGAAAGCGCGCGGTGAGAGGGGCAACGCATGCGACGGGTGCCCGGCGAGTCATCATGAAACCCAGGGGCCTTGAGGAAAACGGATGCCTAAAGATTTAAACTTCTTTTATGGATTTTTGGGGTTCCAAAAGGACTCACTCCCTGAGTCTGTATGGTCTTCTGGGAGGCTCAGGCGACAAGTTCAGGCTTTGGCCAATTCGTTCGGAGCCCGTTCGGCGGCGTCGTCGCCTCCTTAGGTCCAAGACATGCCGCTAAAGGAAACCAGGCACCTGAAGACATGGTGGTCGTTGGGATTTACATTTTCCACATTTTTGCTTATTGTGGTGATAAGTGGTGGAAATCCAAGCACTTATCTGCTACAATTTGTAAAAACAATTCTCCCCTTCAACGTCAACCAAGTTTACCTCAGGGAACTTGATGGTTCCCCTTGCTACATATATGCATAGAGTGGCATGCAGGCGCTTGCCGCCATGCACGTCAGGTGGTTCACCCAAGAAGCTGCCATCATGAGCGTGTGTCAGGATGAGAGTTTCACGCTGGGCCGCTGAGGCGAGCGGCTCTTGGAGGAGCAGCCCTTGTTGGTGGTGAGTCGCTGTAGGCGGGGCATGGGACCCCCCTGACAAAAAACCCGCCTGACGGGCCCCCGTGTGTGCTGTTGTTGTGTTTTTTTTTGTCAGGGGGGGACCCGAATGTAGCCTTTCACCCGGTTGTTAATCCCACGAGTTGGAACTTTTGGGTTGGAATCCTCGATGACTTTAACCCGTTTGCCCCCAAAATTGGGGGGGGGGATATCCTAGAATTTATAGGTCTTGGAGGTTGATTTCCCAATAAACATGGTGGGATTCCCCAAGTTCAAGCCTTCTTTTCTAGCAATCAGAAAAGACCCTGCCATGAAAAGCTGTGAAGGGTGAGTAAAGGAAGCAAACACAACACTCGATCCTGATGGCCTATTTTTTTGGGTTTGCGATATGTTAAATTTTCAGAAGGCAGATTTAAAGACCAGAGTCTAAACATGCGGACATCCACGAGGGCATCCGGATCTTTGGACGTCCAGGTCCCGAGTTCATCGGAAATCCGAGATCTTCCGTGACTGCCGAAAGTTGGTTGGGTGAGCCAGTTGGGTGCGTGGTTTGTTTTGAGGGCACCCGTTGTTTAACGAGGCGAAAAGGAACACATTTCATTTTTTTGGAGTCCCCCCTAAATTTGGCGCACACCCAAATACTTGGCCGCTCTTTTGAGGGAGTCTGGGTTTGCGCATGTTCAATGATTCGCGGAATCAGGTAACTAACGGCGGCACAATGTTGTGCTTGCCTGGCGCTAGACTTACAGTATTCCTATGGGGATGTCCTTGTCCTTCTTTTTTAGGGACCCCCGAAAAAGTGCACCCGAAAAAGAGACCCAACTATATGGCGAACGGATGTTGAATCGAGCAGGGCTGCCCGCAAATGTGCCCCGGTTGCAGGTGAATCGGCTTTGGTTTGAGAGTGGCAAGGTCATGTTTCTTGGGCACCCCTTCTATCAGCTAGATCTTTTGCACCAAGCAGAAAGCAACATAGGATTTGCAGATCCAATTACTTGGGAAACCAAAAAACCACCCAGTTCTGATCAGTTCTGAGGCTTTGCGAGTTGGTTCCCTGGCTTCTGGGTTGGTTGCGTAGGCCGTGGGAATTGTGCAAGAAGGTCCCTGCCTTTTGCTTGGACCTTGTCGCTTGTCGAGTTGTTTCCGCAAGCTCTTGTCAAGAATGAACAATCGACATGTTGCAGAGGCTCTCTTGGATGATTCTTGTGCTTTTTTTGGGAGACCCTTCCTAGGTCCCCCAGTAGTGCCCTTTTTCCCGTTTTGGTGGGAGGGACACCCCCTACTAAAAGACTACAGAAACAAGTTGTCACCCTTATTCGAAGCTCTCTACTGGAGGGCCTAGCTTCAAGACAATGTGGGTTTTCCTATTTCTCTTTAATCCCACCAACTCCAAGAAAGACAGAGCCTCGAGTCAGCCAAGGTGGCCCTGCAAAGGCCTAAGCCGTGTAATGCCGTGTAAAGGGCCTCGCGTTGTTTTGCCGTGCTGAATCCCTGAAGCGTGGTTGCAACCCGACACATCAATGGACACCCACCCTTGAACAGGTCCCTTTTCAGGTGTTGTTTCATTCATCAGGGTCCCTTTAAAGGATATGTATGGGCAAGTTTGGGGGGAAATCGCTTCTGGGAGCAAATTGCTTTAGAGCTCAGATCCCCTGCGAAAAGGTCAGACCACTAGTGGGTTATAACTCGAGCCCCCAAAAACCTGAACACCTCAAATGGCGGGGAACCACCATGTGATTTCGCTAGGATAGGCTCGACTTCCTGGAACCGGTTCCCTTTGAAACCTCCCTGAAAGCTCTTCTTACTTGCCCAAAGCCGACCTCTTGACCTCTTAGTTTTCCGGGTTTGGTCTAGCTTTAGTCATGACCCTAAAAGGTTAACCTTTTATTTTCAGGTCCTTTGGGCAAGTGAGTCTTCAGTCCGGAGTTGTTTGCCTATCGATGAGCCCACGTATCCCCAGCCCGGAAAGCTGGACCAAAATCTCCTGTTGAAACCTCCCGGAGAGCGGGCGCCTTTCAGCACTCCGGAGCCCTCTGCCTCTTCAAACTGCCCAAGAAATCCTGTGAACCCTGCAGGGACACGCGGGAACTGGACTCCTGGGAAGAGGAGATCTTGGCAGAAGTGGCGAAGAAGCCGGCGGCGCAGCAAGATGCCTTCTGGGGCCTGGCAGACGCTGGTTGATGCGTTGGCTTAGGCTGAAAACCTGCTCCAATCCTTCCATTTGCTTAAGAATATGATTTAATTTTCCCCTGTTGGTTTTAAGGGGAATCTATCAGAATCTATCACTACTGGAAATCTTATCTAGTGGAGGTGGTTGATGTGTTGTGTTAGGCCTTTGCAAGCTATGCTTTCAACACCTGGTTGCGCCATGATTCGTGAGTGTTGCGAGGGCAATCACCGGATGGTCCCCCTTTCCTCTTTTTGAGGGGCAACCCCCTTTAAAATTAGCTACTGAAGAAGGGCTTCCCTTTTCCTGTGGCCACAGGGGTGTCTGAGATTGGCCTCAGCTGAAGCTCCGAAATGTGCAAAGCTTCCCAGGTTTGTTTCAAAAAGATAGGCCAACAGGTTTTGCAAACCGCACTTAGTTTTGAAGCGCCCTGTTCATGTGTGGCGTTTCCCACCGATTGATCACCAAGCGTCCCAGTATTCCCCTCAAATGGCCTAGTTTTGTTTATAATCTCAATGAATCCATAACCATGTGGATGGTCCAGCAACCGATTGGAATCGATTGGACCGTGTTTATAACCCCTGGTTACGAACCATTTTGCACCCATCGAAGTCTCAGGACTGCCACACGCCGGAGGCCAAGACGGCGGTGGGCATTTGCCGCACCAACGGCCTGCCAGTGGAGACGGCAGAGGGGGAGATGGTGGGGATCTACGCACAGCGCTCAGCAAACAGAGCCAGCTTCCATTTGCCTAAGAATATTTTTGTAAAAAGTAAATCCCTTGTTGGTTTTTATCTATCACTACTGGAAATATATGTTTTGTCAGGGGCTTAAGCAAATAGAAGCCAGGGTTGGCAAGATCATTTTCTTATGGCTATTTGCTAGGATCTTCGGATTTTGTTTTGGTTGAAGCAGTGGACTTTCCGAATTGGACCCACAAACAGTTGAAGTTTTTGCAGAGGGGTCCGCATCAACTAAGAACGTCACGTTTCATTGCTTGACTAAACTTTCTAACCTTTCGCATTTTTAGCTTTAAACAAGTTCTCTTTGTGCAGGGCTCTTGTCAAGTTCCGTGTTTAGCTCACAAAAAATGGAGAGTTGCCGGAGGGTTGGCCCCTTTGCTAATGTTGCTGCTGTGGTGCTTGTATGTTTGCGTGGAAGGGACAGGATGAGGATTTGTACTTGCCAATCTCCCAGCATACACACAAAACGGCCACGCAAGCGGGCAGACAAACAAACAAAAGTCAAACAACAAGGCGGGCAGTTAAGCAGGCAAACAAGCAAGCAGACAGACAGTGAGAGAGACACACACAGACACAGACTGACAGACAGACAGAGAGACAGACAGGCAAGCAGACAACGAGACAGATGGACAAACAGACAACCAGACACAAGCAGTCAAACAAGAGGGCAAGAATGCAAGCAGACCTCAAACAAACAAACAAACGAACAGGCGAACGAACAAACAAGCACACAGAGTGGGGAAGGCTCGGGTTTGCTTTTTGCTGCTCCACGACCTGTCTGAGGCCACCGTGTCGCGCTTCAACCACAGCTGCAACAACAACGCCAGCAGCTGAGGCTAGGGTTGCCGGTTGCCCTTTAACCCACACCTTCAGTGGGACTTCCGTTTGCTTGTTTTGTTTTTGGGGGGGGGGTGTTGGTTGGAGCAAAGGGGCTGCAGGGTTTCCTCACCCGGAAGAGGATGGCCCCGTTTCGCGGCGGACTGACATGTACCTCTCCTTTTGTCCCCCTTCACTGGCACTTGCTTTTCTTTTTGCGGGGTGCCTGCAACTGATCGGCCCCAACAAGGGCACGCGCCTAAAACTTGGCGTGCCGTTTGGTGGCCCTAACAACTTACAAGTTTGAGGGACGCTTGTGTTTTGGACTCACTCCGGAATCCAAGGTGAACAACAGCTACCAGGACGACAAAAACGGCGAAGTGCTGCATGCCATCCGAGACATTCCGCAAGGCGAAGAGCTGTGCATCACTTACATTGACCCTTGGAAGTGGTACCTTCGTGCGAACTGACTAGGGGGGGATGTGGCTGCAAAATTGGCACCCAACATGGCACCTTGGCAAATGGAAACAAAGACTCAAACCTGCGTAAACTCAGCTCTCTCTGAGCCATACCCAAGTCATGTGTGTGTCTGTGTTCTTTGAGGATACCCTTTTCCGAGGTTGTTTTAGAGCCAACCCCAAAAAAAGACACAATTTTGCGGGCCTCCTATTTTGACGTACCACACACACTCGGAAACAACATCTTTTTTGAGAAATACGGGCATGTGTCAAGACATATCTTTTGAGGGGGTGAAGTACCCTGCTGGCCAATGCTGGAACCTGATCGGAGGTCGAGGTGTTGCATTGATCAGGGCCGGCAGTGGCAGCCATGAGGGAAGACGGAGGGAAGGCGGCCAAGGTCGCCAAATGGGTGGGGTGGGGTGGGGTGGGGTGGGGTGGGGTGGGGTGGGGTGGGGTGGGGTGGGGTGGGGTGGGGTGGGGTGGGGTGGGGTGGGGTGGGGTGGGGTGGTTTGGCTCAAAATTAAACGATCGGAGGGGCAAACCGCAGGTCTTGGTCCATGTTTCCACTTACCGATCGGGCAAGCCATTTTGGAATTCCGGTTTTTTTGGTTGCCACGGCCAAATGGGCGTGTGCTCTTTTTCGTCGACCTCCAAAATTGCGACGTTCCTTTTGGCTCTGAGGCCTTCCCTCTAAACCACCAAACAGGGGCACGCTCCAAAAATGACACCCCCCAAAAGGTCCGCTGGGATGCGCACAAAGCCTCTCTGCTCATTTTGCAGGCTTTGAGTCAAGGAGGTGTTCACCGATCGGACATGCCAAAACGGTGACCAGAATCGGTTTCAATACCAATCAATTTGAGTCATGGTCAGAAAAAACAACCTTTGTTTGTCGTTAGAAAATGATGTCCGCAGTGTTTTGGCTCCTTCCTTTGACCGTTTTCTGTACCTCCTTCCTTTGGCCTGCTTTCCCAGCGAGTTGAAGCATCCAAGACGGGCGGATCCGCGGGGTTTCGAGTGAGATGCCTAAGGACCTCTTTCTGACGCGGCAAGAGAGGCAAGATACGCTGCAGAGGCCTGGGAAGGGGTGGGTGGTTTTCTCCGTTGTTCAGTGGCACCCCGTTTTCCCTTCTTTTTTTGGGGGGTGGCTGCCCGGTCTTCCCCAAAAAGGGTTCCATTTTGTTTCCAGGGTCACTGAACAACTGAGTTTTGGCTAAGGAGTGCCACTGTTTCTGGCAGTCAGAACGTGGTCCAAGCATGCAGCATGCATGCATCCAATTTCGATGTAGGTCAGTCTGAGCGAGACTCGCAGTGCTGTGGCGGTTTCACTGATAACCTGAGAATTTTGCCACCTGTGAAACCGCCTCAGCCAGTGTGCACACCACACCCATTGGCGGGATGTTCCAAGGCGCACCCACACACACACACACCCGTTCTAATCAAATTGGCCAGCTTGTTGATTCTCAGCAGTGGCCCTTCCTGCACTGGGAGGAAATGCTGGAAGGGGCCCTTTGTCAGGTGCCATGCTAGTGGGAGGGAGGGTACTTGGTACCAGTTTGCTGTGCCAGGGTCTTCGGTTTCCGCTGCACCTGTCCAACTTGCTCTCAGACGGGCCAGGAGCTCCCTTCGCTTTCACGTGCTTTCGCGCGCGTCTGGACAAAACCTGTCCAAAGGTCCCAAAGCTCAAAGGGTTGGGTTACAGGAAATTCGAAAGGACAACAGCTTATTTAGGGTGTTTTGGGCGCCATTTCCTGTAGATTTTCCTGTAACCAAACCCTTTGCAAAGCCCCCAAAGGCCCCCCCCTAGGAAAGTTTCGTATTGTCTGACCGAAGGGTTCAATATAAGTTTGTTTGGTTTTGGTTGCCCTTTGCATCGCTGGAGTGGGTTGGCCAAAACACCGCATGCTAGTCTCTGCTTAATAGAAAGGCCTTTCCCAAAGTTTAAGATCCAGGGACTGAACAAAGTATTTGTTGTTTAACATGTTGGTTTTCATTTTGTCTAAAAGGGGAAATGGAAAACGACCTGACCTCCAAACCCTGATCCAAACCACCTGGAGAGAAGCTGAGTATATCCATTTCTTGAGCTGTTCTTTTTTGCTATGGACCCGGTTAACCTGATTGTACTAGCATACATCTCTATTGCTCCCCTGCAAATTTGCATGAAACCCAACAAGCTGGGAATTTTCCCGAATGCAGTTTCTACTAGAACTGCAGAAGTGTGACCGCCCTTGGCTCCAGTTGCTTAGGGGTTTATTCGTCAGCGCTCCGCAGGATGCCAGCTGAGTCAAAACCAGGGCCCCCAGCACCCTTGGAAGGAGGCCTCGTTCGGAAGGTCAGACTGGGAGCCTGGTGTGAGTCCAGAACCGCGCAAAGTACTTGAACAAAACCATGCCAGCTGAGTCCAGAACCACATACCCAAAATCCGGTCTTCGTGACTTTCACCAAAAAAAGGTTCGGCCATTTGTTGGGCCAATCCACTCGTTGGCAAACGTTTCAAAAGTGAGAGTGGTGTTTTTCCGGGCGCGGAGGAGGAAAAAGCAACTTCGCCAGGAGCTGCTGCTGAGCAACCGCCGGCGCCAGCGCCTGCTGCAGCTGCGGGAGGCGCTGCCCAGCGCGGTGCCACAGGGCCTGGGCACGCAGGCGCTCGCGTCGGTTCGCGCGCGTCGGGCGCGTCGCGCGCGTCGCACGTCGGTTCGGGGAGCCTGGGCGCTCGGCTCCAGGGGAGGAAGCCCCAGCCACATCCTCAAGACTCGGGTAGAAGGTGGAGACTCTAGTGCTATTGGGTTAGATCTTTGGACTGGATTCCCCTCATATTTCCTCTTAACCAGCAAAAAGTTTAACTTTTTGCTGGGGGGATCTACAGCACCCAAGGAGAGTGAGTTGAAACAGGACCCTTAGCTCGGCTACGACGCCTCAGGAAAACGTGCAACCATGGCTTAGGAGGCTCGGACGCCATGGCTCTCCACCCTTTGAACACCAAACAAAGAGAAAGGTCGGAACAACAGGGCTTTCTCCTGGCTGGGGTCTGTTCGTGACAATTGGGACAAGAGAATCTGAAACAACAGCTTGCCGGTTCCCAGCCGTCCGGTTCCTCAGGTTCTTTTCTTGCTTTTAGTTGGCTTTGGCGGTTCTCAACCAAAGCTTAGACTTGCCCGCCCCCTGAGGTTTTTGGTTGGTTTAGCGGTCGGTTTTTGATTTAACCCACGAAAAAATGTGCAGGGGATCAGTTCGGCTAGCGGCCCTATTTTGGTGTGTGCCAAGCTATTGGCAGAGGGCCAGGGAGTTACCAAAATCATTTTGCAGATTATCCTGGACCCCCCACCCAACAAAAACGGTAAATTAATCGACACAGCAACAATAGACCACACATCACTTTTACAGAAAACTCCAAATCCCAAATTCTCCCCCCCTGTTTTTCTCTACAAAGCCCCAGTTTCCAGGGGAGTGCTTCTTTTTTAACCAGCCCAAAGTTGCTTTCCTCAGTTTTTTCCTTTGAGTCAAGGTTCCAAGAAGTTGACCTTTAGTTTCCAGGTCTTCTGGGCAGTGCGTGCTCGTTTGGGGAAGCTTGCCGGGGCTTTGTTTCTTGTCTGGCGCACGGAAAGCCCTGAGCAGGTACTCAACAAGATCGTGGCGCCGTGGCGACAGGAAAACATCAGCGAACCACTTCGGGAAGGGCTGCGGTTGTTTAGTTGGGACTCAGGTGACCCTGAGTTATCCTGAGCTGGCGGCTTGGATTGGTGCTTTGGGATTTGAACCCCTGCCTTTTGTAGAGGGTAGATGGGAAACCGCCCCTAACCACCAACCCACCAGCTGGAAGCTGAGCACTTGCGCACAGCGCATCGACCTGAATGACCTGTTCTGAACCTTAAAACCCAAAAATTAAGATCGAGCCGACCTTTTGACCTTTCGGTTTTCCAATTTTGGTTCATTCTTAGTCATGGCCAGAAAAGCCCCCCCTCTCCCCGGTTATGTAGCACAAGGGTCGGCAACGTTCAACCCTAAGGGATTTGTGTGTTTCTTGGTTCATCAATTTAGGGCAAAGAAGTCTCGAATACCAAAGGTTGACCTTGCGACAGGGGGGGGTTAACAGGGCAGGGCCAAATACGGTTTAAACACTACCTTCACAAGAAAACATCATAAGGTTTAAACGTGTTCAAACCAATGGGTAGCCCCACCCTAGTGTAAAACCATCATCTTGTTGTTACAACCAGTGTTGCCCATCTCTTTTCGGAGTTCTTTCCGCGCCAGACAAAAATAGTACAGCACATGAGCCATGGGTCCCTTTAACAAGTTTCGACGCACCATGTACATCAAACATCAATGCCCTGCAATGGGAGGCTCCCTTTTTACACGGTCAGAACATCCAGGGAAAGGTTGCCATTCTTGAGGGGCCCTCTTGGACTACGGCCACTTGGGCCCTCACGGGTGTGGGGTTTGCATTGAGTGGCGGTGCTGCTGCATTGCCCAGTTGCAACGATTGGCTGTTGGCATCCCAAACCAAAACTCGACTTACCGCCAACTGATGGTTTGGCGGGGGTACACATTTTCGTCGTTTGGCTGGGATTCGAGTCCCACCAATCCAAACCACAAACGTACCTTTGATTCAAGGGCCGATGTCCAATGTCCTTTTGTGGAATGTGCGCGCGAAAGGCTCCATGGCCAGTCGGAAAGCTCGAGCGAACTTTTGTTGCCACGGCGCATGTGGTCAGCAAACCCGCGAGCCGGTGCTCCGAGCCGTTCAAGATGGCGGAAACTCAAGGCTTTGGGTGGAAACTTAGTCTGGCCGTGGGTCAACACCAATGGTACCATTTTGGGGTAGGTGCACCACCCAATTTAGTCTATTTAGTGGGGATTGGGATGTTCACTGGGGTGCGAGGTTTTGACCCATAGACTTCGCCAGGGTTCTACCCTCCGGTGGGGGTTGTGTTGCGGTCCACTGTCCACCTGTGGACAGTGGACCGGGGTAGGTGCACCTACTTCTTCCCTCCCACTATTTAGTGGGGATTGGGATGTTCACTGGGGTGCGAGGTTTTGACCCATAGACTTCGCCAGGGTTCTACCCTCCGGTGGGGGTTGTGTTGCGGTCCACTGTCCACCTGTGGTAATTGGATCCATTGGCGAATCAAGCTTCATATCAACCCAACCTCCGGCAAAGTTGGTGTGTCCTCCGAAGAACGTGCACAGTTTATGTTGGGTAAGCATGCAACAGAGGCAACATTGTATTGTGATTTTCGGTGCGCCACTTGTATGCAGGCCAATCATGGCAGTGCACAGTTGCCTGCTTTGGCGGCGCTGCTTTTCCTTTAGGGAGGGCTTTGCGTATGGTTTCGCCGCGGGATATCCACACCCCGCTCAGGAATTGATCGACCAGGACTCCAGAAACGGCTCGGGCCTGTCGGTTGGACGGCTGGCCCCCGCAATGAGTGGCGATCCGGAGGTCGCTGCCAATTTCGTGATTCGGGATTTAATCACATTTCGGGATTAAATCACATTTTCGGGATTCGGGATTTGGGATGCGGGATTCGGGCCTCGAATCACATTTTCGGGATTCGGGATTCGGGATTCGGGCCTCGAATCACATTTTCGGGATTCGGGATTCGGGATTCGGGCCTCGAATCACATTTTCGGGATTCGGCATTCGGGATTCGGGATTCGGGATTCGTGCGCGAATCACATTCTCGACCAGGTTCTCCGGATCACGTCTCCCCGCAATATAAGCCTTTTGCCGTGCTGGAATCTTGGAGATTGGTGTTTAGCCATTCCCAGTTTGAGAGACTAGAGGGATTCTGGGGTAGACTTAGGATACATGTTACATGTTACCAGTGACTCCATGTGAAGCAAACAATGAAATATACATTCTATAACCGGGCCTAACTCTAATCCTGGATTGATGACGTTCAGTCTCCCACTTAAGTTTGATTTTGAGCAAGGGATCGATCACCTGCGCCAACTTTGAGCAAAGTTTCCTTGAGGGGTCACTTGTGGAGCCTGTTCACTTACCCGTCCTTTGCGCAAGGTAGCAGAAGGTGGCAGAATGAAGAAGCCCGATCATGCAAGTCAAAGGCTGGATCTATGAACCCTGGTCTTAACGCCTTTGCTGTTGATCAACCAGTGGTTGCTCGTTTTTTTTTTTTTTGGCCGGCCACCAAAGTCCTCACAGCGGTTCATATCTAGTTCCAGTGGCGACGGGTTTGGCTTAACACATGCTGAAGTCTCGTTGTTTGCGGACTCCACTTCTGGTATTTTGGTTGGCAAACAAGCATAATTTGGCCAGACCTGCGCCCCGCTTTTACAGTACTGGCCCTGCCGCAAGGATTTCCCGGGCTCGAAAAGTCAGGTTACGACCACCACCAGCTGCCAAACGGCGTCTAAACAAATCCACAAAGCCATCACCAACTTCTTCAAGCTTCAAAAGGCTCGCAGAACTGGCTTCATTGTTTAACCATGATCAAAGTCACCCCCCAAGTGGTGGGTTAAAGGAAAATAGCCCCATTTTCTGACTTTGATAACCCCACAAACCGTCAAAATAATGACCCCAGAGAAAGCAAATCTCGAACAGCATTATACACTTTAAACATCGCCACTCACGCTGAATACGCCCGCTGTTGACTGGATCGTCCTTTCTTCGGGGCCCTTGTTTCACATCAGTGAACTGTGCAAAAACAACGCAGTGCCCGGCAGATCTTGCACTTCAAGCGTTCGAGGGACATACCCCCTGCAAATCAGCATGCAACCCAATAAGGGGTTCCCGCAGGAGTTTCCATGTTGATTTGCAGGGAATGTTTTTTTTTGTTTGTTGGGGTGGGGTGGGGTTGTGACTTGCGTAGGATTCAACCCCGCGATGCCCTTCCCAGCCTGATTCGCCTTTGAAAAGAAGGCCTTTTCTTTGGCGGTTTGGCTATGATCGTGACTTCCATTTGCTTATGAATATGTTGGACCATGTTGAATCTTCCCTTGCTGGTTTTAAAGGAATTTATCACTACTGGACATTTGTCTATTTTTTCCGGGAGTCTTACCCAAATGGAAGTTGAGGAGCTGGCGGGGAACGCCGCGGCCAAGACCTACACCTACCACATGGGCTTTCAGCTCTTTCAACACGGCGAAGAGGCGGAGGAGTGCGCTGAGAAGGCTCGCCCTCGTGTTCTCAGATCGAAAGTCTGTGGATGGACGACATCCATTTCGCAGGGGTCATGATTCCAGGCATTCTTGGGCGGTGCGATGTCTGGATTTCGCAACCATCCAGTTTGGGCGTGTCTTGGATGGCTCGATGGCTGTGGCTCAAAAAACCGGAATTCCAAAATGGAACCCGATCGGTAAGTGGAAACATGGCCCAAGACCTGCGGTTTGCCCCTCGGATCGTTTAATTTTGAGCCACGCCAGGTGTTTTTTTGCAAGGCAAACCGAAAGGGACACCGCCGGAAATCAGAAAGGGCTTCCCTGATCTATGCCAGGCCTCCAGTGGGTTGGTTCCCTGAGTCGATTTTGTTTTTAGTTGTTCGGAGGGCTTTGTGTTTGGAAGTCAACCGCCAAAAAGTGGCATTTATCTCGGTTTGCTCAGATCATATGGGCATGTTTGTTTTAGAGGGTAACCTTTTTGAAGCCAGCCATGTGGTTCGCGCATTTGGAGAGAGCGTCTGGTACTATGAAACAAGTGAATAGACACCTGACTGAGTATGAAAGATAATCTGGACACGAGTCAAAAACACACGGAGCATACTTACTATGCACTCCGGGATCCCAGAGTTTTGGTTAGTCTTCGGGCAAGTATAACATGTCAAGTTCTTTGCGTGTACCCTGAGCGTGGTCAGAGGCAAGGGAGTTTTCGCGGGTCAAAGCCGCCTTTAAGAGGCAATCGTTGTCTTTCAGCCCCCTTTCGGAGTCTGGAGTCGGCGTTTCTTTTTTCTGAGCGCTGGCTGAAAACACCTCGCTTTTTGTGGCTTTGTGGGACTAGGGTCTAGGGCTGGGGGATGGCTGGCTCTCTTCTAGGGGTACCTTCCCCATTCTTTCCAGGCATCCTCCTTTCTCAAAAACCACCCAAAACCCTGGAGAAACAGCGATACGTTTTTTGGAAAATAAGGATGGTTGAAAGGAACCGATAGAACTGTGGGGGTCTAGGATTTGTGGCCAACCCATGGTGGACTTGGGGTACCTTCGAAGATACCCCTAGATCTACCCTTTGCATTTTGCCAAGGGATGTTAGGACTTTAACTTTTTGCCAGCTAATGTGTTTTCCGTATTAAGCCACTAAAAGAAAGTGAGTCACTTTTAGCAGGGCTTCGCAGATTTCGAACCGAGCCGAGACCTCTTTCTCCCTGTCTGCTTGATGGCTCTGCGGCTCTGATGGAGGCACTGCAGCAGGCGGTGCTGGCCGAGGGCGCGGATTCCTGGGTCAGCAGCATGCTGAGCCATCGGATCGGCACAAAAAAAGCACAGCTGCGAGCCTGCGAGGAGTGGGGCGCGATTGGCGGCTCGGAGCCGGGCCATTAGCCGGGTCCTTCGTCTTCGTATTTATTCGCTTTTGGAGTGCAAAATGTGTTGTTTTTTGGTATGACATGCTGTGGATTCCACGGATGGACCAAATCTTGCACCAGTTGGGATGGATGGAACATGAGAAACCTCTGTGAATTGTGGGATGTAACATGGGTAAGCCACATTCTAAGCAGTGCAGGATGATCGAAGCAGCAGATTGCATGTCCAGCATTTTTGTTTAGTCACCCTGTGTTGTCCAAGGGAATTGTCCCATTTTTCACCTTGCAGTCCTTTGGTGGTTCCGAACCGTGCGGTTCGGGATAGGATGGGTCTGCTGCAAGCGGCTCAAGTTGTCTCCGGTGCTGATTGCTATATACCATCCACGTGGACCAATCCAGCATACTTGACATTACAAACATGCACTCCAAACGCCAAACCTGCAAACGCTCAGGTTGTTGGGTGACTGTGCGAGAAGACTATGAACAATAAATGCCTTTACACCACGTTCCGGTCAGAAGATGTCCTAACTCCTGGCTTCGCCTCGCGCACAAAGCGGCGCCGGGCGGCCGGGCGGGGAGCAGTCGATGGCACGATGAGCATCGAGGATGCTGAAGCGTTTCAGCCGTGGATATGCTTCCACCCCTGCCGAACACAACTCGCGCCAAGGCTCATCCCCTGGAAAAACCTTCATCAAGTGAGACAGAAATAGCAGCATGCCTCCAGTGCCGCGAGTTTCTGTTCTGTTTGTTTTCCTTGGCTGGGTGGGATCTTTCACCTTTAAGTTGATGAACTTTGGGTTTAACCTTGGCTACTATTTATGTGCGTGAACCTGGGCTTTAATTTAGCCTTGGCTATGGGAAAATCAAGGCTTCCTCAAGCAGAAAAAGTTCAACAACGCGGGTGTTCCCCGTAACACGCCAACCAGGCAAACGTGCAACAAGTGCTTTGTGGCAAGGAGTATGTTCGGCACTTTTTGCTTCCCACGTTCGGTCCGTTCTAGACATGCTCCCAAAAGGCCACGGCTGAAAGTGAACGCCACAATTCCCCCATTTCGGGTTCACCGGCCTTTCCTTGGTGGCTCCCAGCCATCCGGTTCCTTGGCTTTGCAGCTTTTAGTTTAGTGGGGGTTTCCATTTGGCCCACTAAGATTACTTGCCAGCATAATTCAAGGGAACCGTGCAGTCTCACATGTTCACATTTAGCGTTTGGGGCAGTGGAGATACCTGCAATCACCCTTGCTTTAGAGCATGGTGCGAAAGGGGCGGTTTGTTGGCGTGTTCCGTGTTACTCAGTGTTGACCCAGAAAGGAAATGGTCAGCTTTTGGAAAATCCTATCCACATCCCCAAAAAAGAAGCCAAAAAGGCAGCCCTGATTGCCAACGGGCGGTTCCTACCTAGTTGGCAGTGAATTTTGTTGAGGGGTCTGTAACAGAGCCGCGGCGGACATTCGTTACAGACCTCGTTACAGACCTCTGTAACAAAACCAGCTGGCTCGTTACACACCCCTCGTTACACACCCTCGTTACACACCCTCGTTACACGCCCTCGATACACACCTCAGATGAGCAAACCGGGCCAGTGACGTGACTGCCCTCCTTTTGCCGCAGCTTGGCTTGCGTTGAATAGCTGCAATCAAGTGCTTTGCTTTGCCTTGTTACAGACCTCGTTTCATAGCCGTTACATACCTCGTTGCAGACCCAACCCCAGCCCGGGCCAGCGACCCCGCTTTTTGCTACAGCTTGGCTTGCGTTGAATAGAGCTGCGGAGGCGTGCTTTGCGTGCTGCGCTTTGCTTTGCCTCGCTACAGACCTCGTTACATAGCCGTTACATACCTCGTTACAGACCCAGCCCCAGCCCGGGCCAGCGACCCCCTTTTTGCCGCAGCTTGGCTTGCGTTGAGTAGCTGCAATCAAGCTGGAGCTGCGGAGGCGCGCTTTGCGTCCTGCGCTTTGCTTTGCCTCGTTACAGACCTCGTTACATAGCCATTACATACCTCGTTGTGCTGCGCTACATCGTGCTACTGATACTTCTTGTCAGGAAATGTTTGTCCCGTTACAGACCTGCGTAACAAGGACCTCCGTTACAGACCTCCGCAACAAGATTCGTGGCGCGTCGCGCGTTACAGACCCCTAAAAAACATCATAGCCAGTTCAGTACAGTGTTTTTATTCCGTGCCATGTTGCTCAGGGGTCGACACTCAGCCCGTATTGCATCATGAGGGGCTAGACAATTGCTACCAAGTAGCCCACAAGCAATGCAGTCAATGCTTATACAATAAGAAAAGCAAATGCGGGGGGGGGGGGGGGGACTTCCATAACGTCCAGGGTCCAAACCACCAAACCAGACGCAAGGGTTAAGCTGAAGCAAAGCCATCCATTGCAGGAGGTGGCCACAGTAGCCACGGTCAGCAGCAGCAGCAGCAGCATCGCTTCTTGGCGAAGGAAGCTCGCGAGTCGCTGGGATACGGGTGGGAACGAAGGCAGAATTGATTCCTTGTTGGGGTTGGTTTAAAGGGAAACCGCAAAGAATCACGATCAATTCCAGGTGGGTTTCAGCAAGCTTGAGGCACGATCCCAACTGAATGGGGTTGAACAGGGCTCCTTAAAAGATACATGTTGCCCATTTGAAACATGTGGCTTTTTCCACCTTTGAATAAAGGGAAACCACCATTTACAAGTTGCAATGTTCAGGCGTATAATATAAGGATCCCTGTTGAAGTCTATTGACTTTGCTTTTAAACAGATTGTCGTACCCAAAGCATTGATTGTCACCCCTGCAAATCGGCGGGCATTCTTTGAAGTTTCGCTTTGGCCACCGTCCAAAGGGGGTTCCCAATTGATATTGCTCAATGTCCAACTTGTTCGAACTTCCCAGCGTGGCGTGCCTTTGCAGTGGACCCCACCAATCAGCTGCTTCACTCTTGAAGGGCAAACCGAATGACCCTCGTTTGCCGCTTGAATCTGTTTCTTTTTCGGAGGCACATGCCAAAAGGTCCTTGAAAATGGTCCAGATCTCAATGGCAACCAAATGGGTGTGTTTGCTTCTTTAAGGGACCTGCCAGGAAAACACACGCGATGGTTTTCCTCTTGGTTTCCCGGAAACGCTAACCAAAAAAGGTTCTCCCCAAAAAAGAAGACAACACACCCACATCATCTTCCCCTCCTGCCCGCAAAACCGAGAAAACCCAACCTCACCCAGACCTGAAAACCTCAAGGAGGGGCCCCTGTCGAACACTTATCACCCAGAACTATCGAAAAGCTGGACTGTTTTATGTTTATTTTGCAGTAAGGATAGACTAACCGTATTTCATCTGATAAAATGGGGTGGTTCAACCTTGCCTGGAGCCCCCTAACGTGGGTAACTACCCAGACCTCAAGAAAAAGCCCCCGTACCGGGTGCCTTTGCTTCAGATCTGCACGCCGGAGATTCCGCTCACCGCCACGGTCAGCGACCGCCCCACCCCCAGCCGCAGCTGCCGCCGATCCTCCGCGCACGCGCGCGACGCGGCGGTGTCTCCAGTGGCCACGGAGCTGGACTCGGACGCTCTGACTGAAACGTGCGATCGCTGCGAAATCTCTAGGGAGTCTTCCATTTGCTTAAGAATCTTCCCCTATTGGTTTTAAAGGGAATCAAACTCACTACTGGAAATATATTTATTTTCACTGCTGGTGCCGCGATCGCTGCGATACTAGGTCCCCCGATAGTGCCCTTTTACCGTTTCTTGTTTGGGGGAGATTCGGTTCCCCTACTAAAATAGATACAGAAAAAAGGGTACCCTTATAGCCGTTCTGGTCCAAAACCATTAGGGCTCAGGGATCAGGGCCTGGCGACACTCCCCCGTGCGTCAGGCGTCCACTAAGTCACGGTCTCCTCCGTGGCGCCCCGCCTTCTTTTGTGCGCGGCCCCCTGGCTTGCTCTGCTGTGTGGCGGTGGTCTCTGGCGTGCTGGGGCTTTGCCTGTTGCTGGCTGTGGCCATGTTGTCCCGGGACCCGGCGGTGCTGCGGGCCCTGTCTGCCCTTTCTTCCACCACCCTGGCCACACTTGATGCCCTGATGTCTGAGGTGGTGTTCTTTCAGGATCCTGATCCTGAGGCCTGGCGTGGTCATGCTGACCTTCACTTCAGGGTTGATGCTGGGATCTCCCCTACGGAGTGGGTCTGCTCTGTCTTTTCTCCTGGCCTTCCGCCTGACCTCCATGCCACTCCCCGGGTGCGCCGGCTCATGTTTGAGATGCTTCTGAGAGCCCCGGTCCTCCTCAACCGGCCTGGCGGTCACTTCAGGGTGAAAGGAGCGTCCTTGGTGGCTGGCACCATGCCTCGTGTGGCCCTGGTGGACCTTGATTCACAGGTCTGGATTGTCCCTGACCCGGGCTTTGATGCTCCGCTAGCTGTGTTTGCGGGGTCCTTTCATGGATGGGGTCAGGCGGCTGAGGCCATCAGGCAGTTGGTGGGCCTGGACATCCAGCAGGAGCTCATGGTGGATTTCTCGCCACAGGTTGTTGCCTCGCTGTCTGTTGCGCTGAATGTGCCTTGTGTGCTCCCGGTCAACCTGACCAGTTGGGATCCCACCTCAACCCAGGCTGTGATCCTTGCGGATGTGGCTGACCGTGGGCTTTTGCATTGTGTCCCATGGGTGGGCACTCATGTGGCCACTGCCTCTCCGCCCTGCCCTCCTTGGTCCCGGGCTGGTGAACAGGATGGTCTTGGGGATCCCCATGGCATGTTCTTTGTGGCCGCCTTGGCGTGGGCTCGGGCTGCTGCCCCTCTGGCTCTTCTCATGGAGTGTGTTGATGGGTTGCCGGATCACCCGCACTTCCCCATCATACTTGCCGTTGTCCAGTGGGCTGGCTACCGGGTTCATCACTCACTGGTACATGACCATGCCACCTTTGGGCCATGTGCCAGACGCCGTTGGCTTGCCACTTTGCTGCGGTATGATGTTGAGGTGTCTGGGCCTGCCCCCACTGCCACTTTTGGTGACCCTGTGCCAGTGCCGTGGACCCACCAGGACTTCCAGGTGCAGGAGGCTCCTGAGATTGACTTTGCGCGAGTGCTTGATGACCAGGTTCTCCGGCACTATACCAACCCTGCCTTCCTGCCTGGTGCTGAGCCTCGCCAGCACTCTGCACAAGAGGTCCTCCAGAGGCGGCTGGCCCCTGCAGATCAGCCACTGCGCACACTCTGTGCTCGGTACTCTCAGCAGCATGTCCTGGCTGCTGCTACCCTGGCTGACAGGGGACTCTTTGCCCAGCTCACTCTTGTCGATGGCCGCCCAGCCTTCTTCTCTCCTGCGCAGTGGGCTCTGTGGCTTGGAGCTGTCCGCCCCCTTGTCTTTCCTCCTAACCTTGGAGGCGTTCCATGGCTTGGGTAACTGTATTTCAGTCCCACAGGCGGCCATCCCGTGGACTGTCCTCCTGCGTGCGGTCGGCCTCATTGCTGAGGTACCTGAGCACCTTGTTTTGCGTGTGTGGCGCCATCGGCTACGGGGTGTTGCCCTGCGTCCTGCTGTTGTGCGCGGATGCTTTCTTGGAGCTCTGGATCAGCTCATCGACTTTGCCTTCCACCCTCAGGCTCCTGTGCGGGCTGATGCCGAGGGACCGCCAGTTGTTGTTGGTGAGGAGGCTTTCCCCAGGATGGTCTTCCCCTACCGCATGGGTGCTGCTCGATCCATTCTCCACTCACCCTCTGGCCTGAGTGTTGAGGTAACTTACCCTGTTGGGGCGGCAGTCTCTTTGGTCCTCCTGGCGGCTCGCCTTCCGCCGGTTGTCTTGCCCCTTCTCGCTGTGTCGACCTTCGCTCGTGTGTGGCTCCCTCGTGAGTCGGCCGGAGATTTGACCGGACATGACCTGGCTGTGGTCCCTGCACAGGAGCCTGGCCAACTTGCTCCCCAGCCCCCTCCCCCCGTCCTGGTGCCGCCGGAGGTGAGGGTCTTTATCCATGACCCGGCGGGAGCATTCTTTCATGTCCCCAGAGTTGCTACGCTCCGGCAGCTCATCTGGGCTCTGCCACTCCCTGACCGCCTCCTGATGCATGTGCGACCGTATGTCCACTGACCCCCTTTGAGTGACACCACTACGGCTGAGAACCTTGCTGGTCAGCACTTGCTGCGCCTCTTCCCTCTGCCTGGTGGTGGCTTTGGCTCGAGCGAGACCGCCGTCTCCCTGGCATCTGATGGTTCCGGTTGATCCCTTGACCATGCATGACCCGTGGGCTCCCCTTTTAGGCCTGGTCCCCACTGCCAAGTGTGCGCCAACTGGCCCCAGGAAGTCCTCCCGGAGGACCATGCCTTTACCCTTGCTGATCTTGGGGTTGCGCCTGTCTTGGTTCCGCGTGGGCAGCTGTGCCCCCTTGTGTCAGGCCTGGCCTTCTGCCCTGTCAGCTTGCTTGCGGACAGTCTCAAGGCCCCGGTCACCGCACCCACGGCCCTCATTGTGCCGGGGACCTCGCGGGCTGCCTTGCCTGCGCTTCCGTCTTCCGTTGGTGTTGAGGGCCCCCTGCAGATCAGTGTCCTGGATCCAGTTGCAGCCCTCACATATAAGCGGCAGGTTGTGCTTGTCCATCTCTCTCCTGGCATTACCTACCGCCCCTCTGTTGAAGCTGCTACGGTCATTGACACTGTTGACTTTGTTGAGCTTGTGGTTGAGAGCTTCGAGGCCCTTGCTGCTGATTTTGCGGGCATCTTGGCCAAGCCTGCTGCGGACCTTCGGGCCCTCCTTGAGGCCCCCCATCCGTCGTCGGTGGTGCAGTCTGTCTATGCCCTCCGTGTCCTTCCTGGCTCTGTGCACAACTTGGGTCGCGTGGTGCAGTTTACGGTCAAGCTTTCGTTGACTCACAGGCTTGCCTTCCTGCGTCTGTCTGGCACCGGACCCTTTTTCGTGCGGGATTTCTTGGCCCAGGGAGCTGACCCTCAGGACCATTCTGTGGTGCACCGCTTCTGGCCTCTCAGCGTGGAGGGCCTTCGTGCGGCCTTGGCCGTATCCCGGGCCCTGGGTTTTGCTGGTCTTGCCCGCTGATGCTCGCAGAGCCTTGTTGCAGGAGGATCCCCGCTTTGTTGAGGCCAACCGATCCCTCATCCCCCGTGTCACTTTCCTTGCTGAAGGGTTGCCGTTTGGGGCCACGCCTGGTGCTATTGTTGAGGCTGTCCTCAAAGCTGTGGGTGCACCCTGCATCCCCTTGCGCTCTTTCCGGCGTAACGGCATTCTGGTGTGGGTCTTGGCCTTCGCTCAGGCCCCTGCCCTCATGGATTTCACCCTCCTGTCTGCGGGGCGCCCGTGTGAGGTCATCCTGGCCCCTGAGCCCCCCCCCCCAGGCGCGCAAGGCCAGGCATAAGGGGGTGAGGCCTCCACACCTTCCGCCCAGTGCTGAGGCTCCGGTCGCCTCTGCGTCTCGGCCTGGCCCCTCCGGCCCCGGCCCGACTGGACTTCAGTCTCGTGTTGAGGCTCTTGCGGCATGGGCCACCGGCCCAGCTCAACCTGCTGAAGAAGATAGGCCAGGAGCCGGAACACAGGGATGGGCAGCGCGCGGAGCTCAACAGCTCTCCAACCATCTAAGCCAGCAGACGAATCAGGGCTCCGGCGAGCGACTGAGGCAGCCAGGTCCTCAGCAGATACAGGATCAAGGACCAAGGGAGAGGCACGCTGCTCAAGGAGATGCTGGACGGGGCGCATGAGCGGATCCACGGGAAAGTCCTCCGCATGCACCTCAAAGACAGTGTTCCACTGGTCCGCAGCGTGCGCAAGGGCCACAGCAGGATGGTACGCAGGGGCACCATCGGGACCAGCAAGGGAATTGGAGTGAGTAGCCTGGGTGGCACTGCGCAGATGTGCAAAGACCTCCTTACCCGAGTGAAGGGCCGAGTGGCGAAGGCGCTCCTTCCAACGCGCAACAGCGGCGCGCTGCCTCGTGAGGTGGGCATCACGGAGAGCAGCCTCAACTCTCTCACACAGGGGGGCAACACCCGCAGGGGTGAGATCCTCAGCCGTGTAGGCAAACCGAAGCTCCCGAGCAACACGGCAAAAACGCCTAAGGGTGCGGTGCGTGACCTGAGCATCAGCAACCGAGGTAAGGGGGAGCCGCACCAACCGATAGAAGAGCTCGCGCGCCAGAGACAGAAGTCTAGCCAAGCGGGCAATAGGATGGTACGAAGGAAAGGGGCGCCCAAAGGCCTTCTGGGGGCGCAGCGGAGGCAGGGTACCCCTACAACGGCGCCACCGGGCACCAGACTGCAGAAGGGTGGCGAGCGCAAAGTCACAGAAAAGAGCCCAAGCATCCTCCACGGTACCAAGGGAGTCCAAGGCCGGGCGGTACGTGGACTGCCACATGTCCTCAGCAAGAGCACCACGCTGGTCCTCAGAGACAAGCCCAGTAAGGTCAAGCGGAGCAAAGGCAGCAAAGGCAACAGTCCGTGGAACCTCATCGGGAGCTGCAAATCTCAGGATCACAGGGGCATGTTGAAAGCCACACAAGGGTTCCACCTCAGCCGACTGGAGCAGGCGAGAAGCAAGGCCGTTGAGCAAGACCGTATCAATGGCCGTGCGGGGGCCA